TTGCTGTCAAATTTGAAGGTGTGGACTGTGAGGTTCAAAGGTTGACCCTGTATTAGGAAAAATACTTACTCTGGTGGCGTTTCATGCTATTTAAAGTAAAACTTTCCAAAGGTGATATCTTGATGCACACAAACATCCTATAGGAAGACAAGCTGTGTTATAAATGCTGTGTGTTATTATTAGTCTTTTGCCTTGATGATACTTATAGGGCTTTCTTTCATCCTTCTTGCCAAGTTTGTCTTCATCTTTGTTTCTTTGTCTTCAAGCTGGGAAAAAGTTCAGTTTGGGAGTAGGGAGGAAAAATCTAGACTTTCAAACATCAGAAATCCTTTTGACATATTCTTTGTGGTTTTTCAAAAGCAAAGAGCTATTTTACTCACCATTACCTTGCATCTGGTGTCCAGATACCCAAAATGTGCTACTCTGCCTCTCTGTGGGCTGCGTGAAGAGGAGACAGGCTGTGCGCCGAGGTGAGACTGCCGCTGCCCAGCTTGACAAACCAGTCAAAATGATTTGCTGTCGTGTCGCTTTCAAAACTTAATACTTTAAAAAAAACAAAAAAAACCCCACAACAACTAAAAAGACTACTAGCAAGTGTCTTCTCTGCTATGTCACAGTATCTGCTTTTCTGTATTTATGTGGCATTAACAGTGGTTGAACGTCTCCTGGTCACTCCCTCTACCTGCTTTCCAGAGGGTGAGCTGTGGCCCAGGGCAGGGGGCAAGTTGGGGTGGATTGGATTGAGGAAGTAAAACATCCCCTTCTTGGTCTGCCAGATCAATTTGACTTTAATGATCTGACCATGCACTTTTCAGAGGAGTCTGTCCCTCTCTTTTCTGTCTTCCCAGTAGATAGCTGCAAACAGCAATAAGGTCTCTGCTGAGTCTCCTTGAGGCGGAAACGTAGTTAATGCAAACTGCACTGCATAGGGAGGGACCCTGGCTATTCGGTGCCCGACTCTTTACCAGGAGCGTGTGAAACAAACTGTATCTAAACAGGTTTGAGTTCACAGATTGATCCAGTCCACTGATTCAGTTTGAATTCTCTGGTTGAACTGGGTCGTGGAGGGTGCATACCTCCGCTTCCTTCAGACTGCTGCCTACTGAAGCTCCCTGAAACATCAAGGCTACTTCTTCAGCAGAGAACTGGGCTGGAAACCATGCAGAGCGTGGCTCTGACCAGGGACAGGCACTCGCAGTTACACATGCCTGTCTGAATTCATATTCTCACTTCAGTGACTTCTGTGCTCCAACAAAACCAAAAGTAAATATGCTATTTTAAATGGTGTATTGCCAGATTGGTGTTGACTATGTCTGAAGTCTATTTTATTATCAGTAGTGATTTATTTTAAAAGGGAAAAAAATATTCCCAGCTTTTTGATGCTTCATTTCCAGTAAGATGTTCTTTGTGTACCAGCTGCGTGACCAGCATTGTACAGGCAAGATACTGGCATAAATGCTTTCTCTGTTAAAAGTGAGAATGCAAGTCATGCATACAGGGCATTAAGTATTAATTTTTGAGATTATCCTTCCTGAGAGTCTTTCAGCAGTGATACAAACTTGCCCTTGCAACAGTTACCACAAACCGAAACTTTGAAAGTAAGGGTCTTCACACATTTTGAAGTATTTGTAGCCCATTTCTAGCTTGCTTTTTTCGTATTGTGACAGTCATGCAGTAAGAAAGTGCTGGATTAGTGGCCCTAGAGGTTTCTTTTTTGAAGAGGTAAAATGTTCTTAAGCAATTGGGTACATATTTGCTCTGTTGGTCCAGGTTCTCCCTAAACTCTTCAACCGGGAGACCTTGTGGTGCAGAAGTAACACAGAGTTTGTGTACTGATTCTTCTGTATCCATTCCTAGCCTCCAGCATCTATCCATCCCATTGCTTCCAAATAAGCAACAGAGCTGTACTGAATTTATGCTTGTATTAACAGCTAAGAAGTTAACAAACCCTCTAGGTTTGTCCATTGAGCAATTCCAGGTCTCTCTTTCCTGTTTTCGTTCTGCTGCTGCAACTCTGACATTCCAGAAATGGTTGAAATCAAGTATCCAGAGAAAATTTATAGAGGATGCCCTGGCCATCTGTATAACACCTAATGGCAGCCAGCTTAGAAGGGCATCCTTTCAGCTCTGGTCTGCCTGAAAAGTGCTTGGGCTTTTAGTTTTTTTGGGCCCTTGAGGACTGACTAAATATATAAGCTTTGTTAATGTTACTTGGAAGGGAGAAACCATCTAAGAAGTCCAGTAACTCGTTAGTGTGTAAAAGACTTGATCTTCATTGGGAAACTGAAAATACTTCCATATGGTTTTCTACGAAGACTGTACATTCTTTTTTGGAAAAGCATTGACTTCAGGATTTCTGCAGCTCACGTTTGTCAAATGTGTCCAGCTGACGCATTTCACTGTAGTGTTCGAAACCTGACCTTTTGGGACTGTATGATAAATACAGCAGTATGCCTGCACCTCTCTAAGGTCAGGGAACTTTCCCTTCTTCTAACTCATCCTTTGAACTACTAGGTGCCTAGTATTTTTTTGCTAATGAAGCCAGTCATAGAATTTGTGTGGGCTCCTTGGCCCCATTTTGTTTTCATACTTATTTCCTTTTAATGACTGAGCCATGGGTAGCTTTAGCCACTTCTGCTGGCCTCTTGCCCCGACATTGGCCACCCAGGTCCCAGCTGCATCCTGCTGCAAGACAGCAGCCTGGCAGCAGGGATCAGATGCTCCTAAACTACAGTGCTCACTGCAAAGGCTGTCCAGTTTGGTACTTTATCAGCAGAAGGTGTGTGAAAACAGGGTATTTCCCTGTAGCTGTGTTAGCTGGGTCGTGGGAGACTGAGGGTTAAAGGATGTTTCACTTCAAACACTGCGTATCAGTTGTGGATATAATTGGCCTATCTTCAAAACTTGTTTTAAAATAACTGGTGTATATATTATTAGAGGGGAGAAAATGTATGAGTGGGTTATATCCAGTTGTGTAATGCAATCACACCCTGCTCTCCGATGCCTCTTACTAATGCAATAGCAATGGGGGTTTCCCATCTGCGTTTGCACTGAATTCACTAAGGACAGTCTCTGAGCCTAAGAAGCTATTATGTCTGTTGGTATCCCCCTCTCTGTTCTCAGCTTAGCAGTAGTATAGATCTGGCTTTGTGCCACTACTATGTATACACTCATCTCTACATCTGGCTTCTGATTTACTATGGGATTGCTGGTTAGATCAGTTTTTAACACTAACAGTCTTCCTGATGTGTCCTGTGAGCCTGGCTCTTCCTAGGTGCGAGGAAGGTGAGAGCAACAGAAAGCTTTGGCTGCGTGCCTGGCTGGGTGGGTGGACATGTTTGTAGCTATAACTAGTAGTGCACGTGGCTTGGAAGTGACTGGCCGTAACCTGTCACTTCGTGCAGAGCTGCGACCGCGACACATCCGTCATGCATAGCTGTAAAATGCTCTGGGGTCGTTAGGAGCATGCTTACGTGAATGCTCCATATTTAAATTGTCAATATTTGAAATTTCAGTAAGTAGATTTGTCGTGCTGAGGGGGTTTCTTCCCCTGTGTTCTCTTTGAGTATGTACTACTCCTTTCTAAATATAGTACATTCTAATCTTCCAGTTACTTTTTAATCATCTTGTTGCCACTGTATTCTCTTGATCCTAGAGAAGGAGAGCTGCGGGCAAGCTGCCTGCTAGTGTCACAGCTACTACCTGCTGCACCTTCTCTTGCAGTAAAACTATTTGCCACTCTGAACTTGAAGAGAATGAGGTGTGTTCTTTTTGTTGGCTTTTTTGGGATACAGTTTGGTTACTCTTTACACTATGAGTATAAATCTGTTTGGGGTTTTTTGTGGTGTGTGGTAGAATTTTTTTTGTTTGTTATAGCTCATTTATTCTCTTGTTATTACCTGTCAACTTCATTTACCATCCGGGGAAACAGATTTATGGGTGCAGAGTGAGTGTCACAGGGAGCAAAACCAGCAATGACTACTGACTTGTCAACAAAAGGATCAAACATCCATCTTTATCTTGCAGTTGTCTGGAACAAGGATTAAATTGCAGATCATCCTAAGGCAACAGGGGAGCCTTTACTAAGTGGGTATCAATTTGTTTACTTACCAGACCAAAACCACTTTGACTGTTCTTACATGTTCTGACTGCAGAACTGGAGTCTTGTTCTTTACTTAGTACATTCTAAAAGGAATAGTGCTCAGTTAAAACCTTTTGCTCCTGGCGTGGCCCTCCTGTTAGATTAAACTATTTTTTGTCATTGTATTTGATGCATCCCTTATTGATAGTGTTTCTCGTTGGATTTTATCTAGGCTGGCTGAGTAATTCTTCTTATATTCCTGAATCTTAGGTCTCTTATTGCTCATTTTTTACCTTACTTTATTTTTGGTTTTGTGAAATGTGGAAAATGCTTGCAAAAGACACGTAGCTGGCTTCTTTGTGCATGTCATCTGAATTTTAGTTGCAAAGTTTTTAGAGTATGCAGGAGATTGTGCAACAAATGTTGTTTGCTTGCTTAAAATTGCCAGGCAAAAAACCTTGCTTCCTTGCTGCAGCCGTAAAATATTGTGGCAAACATCAGTGTTTCAGCTCAGTTATGGTCACATGTTTTCAGCAGTTGTTATTTGCCAGCGATGGTGTATCTACTCAGTTGTCTCCTTAGGCAGGTGAAATGTATTTGATATGACCTAGTCTTTAGCCTCTTGAGCAACTTAGGATTTACATCTTAGAGGTGTGAATGAGTGCAAGGAAGGCAAAACATGAAATGGACAGTCTTGTTCGTCACTTCAGGCAGATACCAGGTAAATTCATTGGTAGTTTTGATGTGCTCAGGGCCTCCCTTCCTCTTCAGGAAACCGCTAGTAATGATTCACTGCAAAACGTTCATGATGCACGTACGCTTGTAAGGTTTCTGCGTTATACCCTGGGTGTTATTTGAAACTAGAAAGTTCAGTACAGGAGTAGCAAATCAGCCTAATGGATCTTTAACTCTCTTCCAGGACTCATAGTTGGGGTGATCTTGAGATATGGGACTCCTTCTACCAGCGGCCATGACAAGCCGTTCAGTTGCTCGCAGGAGGACAGGCCGTTTACAACCCTGCTGGTCAACGTCAGCGGGAAGTTCTTTGAGTACACGCTGAAAGGGGAAATCAGCCCTGGGAAGATCCACAACGTGGAGCAGAATGACATGCTACGCAAGGTGAGGGTGGATCATTTCTTATGCTTGGCTGAGTGTTTACTTGTGCTTCCCTCCCTCCTCCTCACTCCATCCCATTTGAATGTTGGGTAGTATCAGGTGTCTGTATTCCTGATAGTATTTCAATGCTTAATTCAAAAGTGCCCCCTGTATTGTATCACTGCTGGTGCTCTGTTGCATGCATGTAGTGCTTTCCCAAAGCCCTCCACTGCTGTTTGAAGACTTAGTCTACGTTTCTAATGCCTGTAGAATTCATGAAGACCAGCTGAACAAAAAAAGCTGGATACTGTCTCGTATAATACAACATAAGGAAAACGATAATTTCTTAGTGAAAAGTGGTTGTAGAAACCCAGGAGTTGTTTTCCTAGGGTTCTTTAATCTGTTTATTGTCAGGGAATAGTTACTGCTTACATCCCTATAATCCACTAAATGAAACAGCCTGATATTGCAAGTGAAATTAATCTAGCAACTGTTGCTCAGATCTGCCATTTGGCTTCTTATTCTGTTCAGTGTCAGCAATTAACCACCTTTTGTGTGTATCAAAGCTAGACTTTGAAATATAGGATTGAGACTTGAAGGTTTGTAACTCAAAAATACTTCTTTCTGCTGACCATGAACAGAGCTACGTGCCTGTATCTACCTGTCTGCTATAGATACCCGAAGTTAGCTGAGATGAATCCTATTCTGGGAGTGCAGACTTCTGTTTGTCTTCTAACTTGTGCTTAGACGGGGATCAGTAGAGCCTTGTTAGTCTCACATGTGTGCAGATCTTCTGTTTGGCTTTTAAATGTTGTTTTTCATGCCTTAGTGTAGTGTAGTCCTTCGTGGGTATCTGGATCTCCTACTGAAATACATGGAAGTGATGTATGATCTCAATTCCTGAAAACCAGTCTTGTATCTGACTTGATTGGCATCCAATAACTGTGCAGTGGCTAGACTTGCAAAAAAATGTAAGCTAAAATAGCATTTCATCTGCAGGTATATGAATATCATGTACCACAATAAGAGAGATCTTCTCCAGTGTCATTTCTATTAGAATTTTTTAATTTAAAAGGGAACTGTGTTTGGGACTGCTGCAAGATTATTATTGTTGATGGATGTAATGCCTGTTTTCTCTAGATGCTGCTTACCAGGAAGAGCTGCAGCTTTTTGCTGCTGCGTATGTATAGAGCTGGCCAGTGTTTTGAAGGGTCAACTTAGCTATTTCAACAACGAAAAATAGTAGTTGTCAGAAAACAAAAGAGGAAGAAGACAATTCATGTATGTCTGTTTCTAATTGAAATGTCATATTTTATTTTTTAGGTAACGTTTGACCCAGAAGTTTTTTTCAACATTCTGTTGCCTCCTATTATTTTTCACGCTGGCTATAGCCTGAAGAAAGTAAGTGTAATCATTTCCGAGGAGAATAGCCTCTTTTTTTTTTTTTTTTTTTTTTTTTTTTTTTAATGTGAAATTGCTGATTTGTTCAGGAGTGCAGACTCCATTTCAAACATTTATTTTTTTTATGGCAGTAAGAAAAATCTCATTTCCTCCACAGATGGTTAGGTTGTATTGTTTTAAGAGAAAAGACATGTACGTTTTACTATAAACACATTAAACTCCATTTAATCTTGATGATTTCTTTTCCTTTGAACTTTGCCAGAGGTCAATGTCAGTTTCACTTAAAGTAGAAGATATCCTGCTATGAATTGTTTCAGTCCTTCTCACATATCCAAAATGCAATAAATGCTGAGAAGTGGACCCAAACCTGAATCCCAGTGGGGATGTGCCAGACCCTGAATGGCAGAAAGGCCCAGATTCTGCTCTTGCTGCAGATACCCTGAATTGGTGCTGGTTTTCAGTTTTGCAGCTAACTCTTACATCTCTTATGAAAACATCTGTGTGGAAAGCTTCCTGTTAATAAGCTACATGTAGGATTTAATACATAGTTCAGATTTGGTTTATTCAATTTGTTGAAGTTGGGTAGAATTTACATTGCAGTAATGAAGCGTTTCTCTGAAATGGAGGAGTGTTTCTGTGTATTAATGAAAGCGTAGTAGTGTGGTTTTGAAGAGGTGATAAAACTTGTTTTTAAAAAGTGCATAACCTCTTTTTTTCTCTGCAGAGACATTTTTTCAGGAATTTGGGGTCCATTTTGGCTTATGCCTTTTTAGGAACAGCCGTCTCCTGTTTTATCATTGGGTAAGTGAACTCTGTGGTATCAGTTCCTTTCTATACTAAAGTTTAGTTGATAAAGTGCATGTTGAGTCTTCCAGATTGCCTCAATTGCGTTATATGTTTGTTTGAGGATTTCATTTGTGTATCCTCCAGACAAAAGGCAAATGTACCTTGCTGAGATTTATCCTGCTTCTAAACAATACTGTCCCTTGAAAAGTTATTGTCAAGTTTGAATCCCTTGACAAGTCCACAGTACTAGAGTGGCGTTGAGTGTTTCATGTAAAGTCCGGTCCAGACTTTTACTGGAATTGACTTTGACTTGAATTCTGGAGGACACTACTTGTAATAGGCTTTTAGCTGTCAAACTTTTAGAGATGTCCCTTTCAGTGCCCACATGTGTGTACACCCTCTCTCCTTCTCTCTCTGCATATATGTATATATATAATTTTATGCGCATATGTACACACATATTTAGTGTAAGGTAGCTGCTCGCATTGGTTTACTTGTGCACAGTCTCTTTATGCTACTAATATTACTGTGTCTGGTGTATGGATATTCTGAAATACAGAAATCCTGAATTGCATAGGTGACCTTGGTTTGTCTGTCAAAGAATTTCACTAGAGAAACGCTTTGAAGGCTTTTCTTAGCTCAAAGCTTTTGGCCTATGTGCTGTGTTGGGAGGAGCAACACTGAGGGGAATTTTGTGCAGGGAAATGTTCCCTTTGGTGGAAAAAGGTAAACAACCTGTAGGTTCTGAGTACTAGTTGTGCAAACAGATTTCATGCTTTGCTTACTGGTTTAAAATAATATCTTCTGGGTCATATATCACTTGACTCGGTTCATAGGGAAAAAAGGAAAATTACTTTTGAGAGTTTAGTGTTCAACTGTGGCAGTGTCCCACAGACCTGTAGCATAACCAAGCCCACCTGAAATGTTGTTGCTTGTGCTTTTCCTTTGCCTGTCTGAAATGCACCGACTTGTTTGATGTGGACTGTTTTATGCTCTTTCTCTTCAGGAATCTCATGTATGGGGTTGTGAAACTAATGAAGTTGGTGGGTCAGCTCTCTGATAAATTCTATTATACAGACTGCCTCCTCTTTGGAGCGATAATATCTGCCACTGATCCAGGTAGCTTGCTGAACATTTTTTAATAACCTTCCAAAATAATCCTATTGTTAGGATTTTTGGCTGCATAGCACAAAGATATTAACAGCACTTTATTTTCAGTTATGTTATGCTAGTATCTCTGATCCTTTTCTCTGAAATGCATGAAATTCTGAGTGTTGTGAAAGCTGTTCTCTGTCAGTTTGGTGCTGGACTGGTATGTTTGGGGAAAAAATGTAACTTTTCTCTTTGAATACTTCAAATATATTTTTTTTTTTACCCAGTAGGGGTGTTTTTTTTGTTGTTTAGTGTGCATCAGGTAGAAGACTGCAAATAGATGAAATTATTACATTGTCTACATAGCAGGACTTCCTACTTTAGCTACATTGCTTGAGACATTGAATAATTTAAGAGCAATATTTGAGGCTTTTAGGCTCTTTAAATGTGGGGAGGGTTTTTTTCCTTCCTTCAGATGAACTTCATGTTTTATGAGTTTATGTAGAAGAATGCTCTTCTGGCAAAGTAATTTGAGCTTCTGCCAAAATAATCTAGTCATCCTTCAAAGTCCAGCAGGCTTACATAGGTGTCTCTGCTTGACCGGTCAGTCTGCAGAACTGGTATATGTAAGGGGCCAGGGTAGGGAGTGGTGAAGTGTGAAGCTTGACATTTAAAGCAGCTTATTTGAGGTTCTCGGTGGCGATTTGTGTGAAAATGGGAAGTAGCTACTGTGGTTGAGCTGAGCTCTGAACAGCTGGTGGTGGTACACAATTGATGCAAAAAGTCGCCATGTGATTTTTGAAGCTCATATGTGGGAACATCTTCAAGATCGTGGTCTTTCATCTCAGACTGAAGTTTCCTGAAAGGATGGTTATAAATATTTAGCAGTCTGGACCTTTTCAAATTCTGCACGAACACACACTCCTCTGTTATACTGGCAACGCTTAGAATTATTAGCACTGTTTTACAATGGCTGAAATAATAAAGCTATGTCAATGATCCATGCAGCTGTTAAAAGTAGCAAGAGCTGCACAACGTTTTGTTGATTATCTTGTATGGAACATGTTCTACAAAAAATATCAGGGCTTTGGTAGAAGTGCTTTTTTGGCCCCGTGTCCCTTGATCCTGGGAGCTTTCCTATGAACACTGTGCAGATGGGAGGACAACAGAGCCACCTCCTAACGGAGCTGCTGTAAGACTTCGTAGTGGAATTGCTTACCTGCAGGTAAACATGGCTATTTTGTTTCCTAGTTTAATTTTGAACCTGTACATCAGTTCCTGGGTTTTGTTGCTTTAGGCAAACTGGAAAGTCTGCTCTGTCAGCTCATGCAGTCGTTCCTGAAGCCAGCCAGAGCGTTTCTTCTCTTTTCTTTCTGTAGTTACCGTGCTAGCAATATTTAATGAGCTGCATGCTGATGTCGATCTCTATGCCCTTCTGTTTGGGGAGAGCGTGTTGAATGACGCTGTTGCCATTGTATTATCTTCGTAAGTAACTACCTGAATTTCTGCTCTGAAATTCCTTAATTGCTTTTGGTATTTGTCTAAAATAAATGCTTTTTCTAAAAAAAGTTATTTTAAATTTAAATGAATTGTCTTGAACTGAACTAATAAACACTGCAAACACTTGCCAAGATCCCTCATGCATACATACACCAGAGTGGCAAATTTGCTTTCAGTATGGGATTGTCACTTCTGTTGCTCAGGTGTTGCTGTTATGGAATAAAACTTTTGTGATGCCACTTCTAACTTCTCCTTGTGTTACTCGCTTTCTAGATCTATAGTTGCCTACCAGCCAACAGGTGAAAATACCCATGCTTTTGATGCAGCAGCGTTTTTCAAGTCCGTTGGTGTTTTCCTGGGAATATTCAGTGGTTCTTTCATGATGGGAGCAGTGACGGGGGTTGTGACAGCTCTGATATCCTTTTTTGGTGTTCAGCTCTTTCAGACTAGATGTCATACTCAGGTATTAACAGGGCTGTCCCACATCCAACTCTAGCTTGTTTTAATCTGAGTGTGAAGATGTGATCAGTATTCATGTGACCTTTGTAGAAAGGCATTATCGGTACCCACAGAAATCAGCTTTTTCCAATGTAATTGTGGCCATACTAGAAGTTTTAGTGATGTTGCTGGAAGCCAAGGGGAGGCCCTAAATGGGCATGTCCTAATGTCCAGTTTCTTTTTATGAAATTTAAAAATAGTTTTTATTATCACACTTGAAAGACATTTCTTATGGTAACTGGTGTTTGATTCTGTCTTCAGCAAAATCATTAATAGCTGGTTCTGACCCCACAGGATTCTTTGAGTCCTGCATTTAAACTTTCTGCCAGAAATCTGATGTCATCCATCTTGGATAAGATTGTATCTCTACCAGAGTTAACATTGTAATGCAATGTGCTTTGCATAATCTGTTCTGTTCTCTTGAAGTTTGCTGTTGCTATTTGATTAGCGCTCTGACGTGCTCAGCAAGCAATCTATGTGGGTTTTGTTTTAGGCTCAGGCAGTAGACCTTAAGCCTGACCTGCTCCAGGAATCATGATGCTTTTTCAGGAAAAAATTAAACTACTTTGGTTTTAGACTGGCTAGTATAACCATACTTATACATAGCCCAGATTGCTTTAATCTGCCTGGACTTCTGAACACTGACCTAAAAAGTGGTAAAATGTGGTATTTTGTACAATAATCATGAACCTGTGACTCTTCATCTTCAGCAATGATGTCTCAACCATATGTTGTTATATACACACTGTGCAGATTTCATAGAGTCATAGCATGGTTTGGGTTGGAAGGGACCTTACAGACCACCTATTTCCAACTCCCCTGCCATGGGCAGGGACACCTTCCACCAGACCAGGTTTCTCAAAGCCCCATCCAGCCTGGCCTTGAACACTGCCAGGGAGGGGGCAGCCACAGCTGCTCTGGGCAGCCTGTGCCAGTGTCTCACCACCCTCACGGTGAAGAATTTCTTCCTAATATCTAATCTAAATATTCCCTCTTTCAGTTTGAAACTGTTACCCCTTTTCCTGTTACTACACTTGCTAGTAAAGAGTCCCTTCCCACCTTTCCTGGAGGCCCCCTGATTTGGCTGATATGTCTGCGTAATGGAAACCCTTCAGGTATAAGGGGAAAATGTGCTGTTGATACTTTGATGTTCGGTCTTCCAGTTCCACTGATTTGAAGTTGATGTGGTTCAGAACCATGATTTTTTTTCATCTGTTTTTTAGGCTACCGGCCACCTATAGCTCTGGCTGCTCAAATGCTGTTGCTGTGGTTTTTGGCTTGCTGGTTGGCTACTAATTACAGCTGAAATGCATTCAGATTCATTTTGTAAAATCATGCTTCTGAAACAGCGATTGCTTCTTACTGCTTCTAATATTTGTGCTCAGGATGGTGATATGAGTCTGGGAGGGGGGAGGCTGTTCAGAAGTCAGCCTCTGTGGTGCTTTTTGTGTATGTTGTGGGGTTTTCTTGTTGTTGATTGGTTGGATTGCTCAATTATACAACTGTTAATTTTCCAAAAGAAAACAGTTACTTAGTGTCATGCACTACTGTAGGAGCAAACTGTAAATTTGCATTTTACTTATCGTAGCTGATTAGAACTCCTAACTTAAGTCATGGATGAAGTTAATAGACTGTTATTCCCATAGCTGTGAAGTATGTATGACTAACTCTCTATGACTGAGGGGTTCCATGCAGTCATGCACTGTCCTTTGAAAAGAGACAGAATACTTAGTTTCCAAATATGATGCAAATAATATACAGGGACTTGTTCTGGCTTTCAGCAAGCTGTCTTGACCTCACTATCTGTGGTTATTTTTATAACAGTTAAGGTATTGTACCACTTTGTATTTTCTTTCTGAATTGCAGAACCTGCCTGGTTGAAATTAAGTGAACCAGAAGGCCATCTCTAAGGAATAAAGAAAGTTATGAAAAGAAAAATAGTAATTTAATTTTAATTGACACTTGAATCTGGTCAATTATATGAAATAGTAAATTTTTTTTTCCCCTTACCTTTCTTTCACCTTTGTCTTCCTCCAAACTGATGAGCACAGGTTTTCGTTTCAGATTTAATGAAATGTTTTGGTAAGGGGCGAATAAGGAATTTGATTCACAAAGCTGCCAGAAAAGACTGGAAATGAGGAATTGATTCTGACAAGGACCCTTGCCTAACTTCAGGGGAACAAGGTTCAACCTCTTCCTCTCCTGTGGAGTGACTGTGGCTATCCAGTTTCCTAAGCATCTGTGAATGCCTTTTGAGCCAGGCACTGAGATAAACTTGTAGTGGGATATCTGAGCGCTCTGTGTGAAGATGGGTTCTAATTGTTGCTACAATTAGATGGATGTTGCCGCTTCAGAAGTGTGATCTTAGAAAACAGGTCCGTTTAGGAGGGGAGGGATTCAGCTGAGTGTAACAGAACATCCTCTAAAGTTTCAGAGAGATGGTTTATGGGGAGAAGTGACTGTGTGAGGAATTAACAGCTGTTTAAAAAAATGCTGAGTTTTATATTTGGTGTAATGCCAACTGTCATGGAGAATATTAATATATTTTTTTATGACAGTTTGGGCTTTTGAGGGCAACCTTTTGACAAAGTAGGGTCTCAACTGAAGGCGTGGCTGGAGTATGTATTTTAGAGCCCTTGCCCTCTTCCGAGTTAGCAGAGAATGCCAGCAAGAAGTAGGCGTGGGTGAGCAGCAGGTGGCTGACCTCAGGATTGTCTCATCCTAACCAGGCTCCCATCGAAATTCTGCCAGCTCTTTGCCTCTGGTTTTAATCACGTTGTTTGTTGTGAATGCAGTGTTCTGTGATAAAGCCCACAGGAGACTGTTTTCACTGAGTCTTCTGGGCTACCTGACTGCTGCTTGCAGGAGGCAGTCAAGAGTGCTGTGAGCCCCAGACCTCTGAGGACCTGTGAATTTCTTGCAGAAAGCAGTGCTGCTCATTGCTCTTACCATCCCTATCCCACGCTGAGCCATGGCTCCCCACGCAGCAGTGCTGCCATTAGCTTTAGATTGTGTAGCGCCCCAGAGAGCCCAGGATGCAGCTGTGTTTCTCATGGACAGCAACGGTGGATGGTGGTGCAGCCTTGATGCATCCATTCAGGTACCTGCTTCATATGAGCAGGGGGGAGAGTGCTACCACCGTACCGTTTCGAGTGTTTTTGCTGTCCTCCCACCTGGATTTCAGAGAAGATTGTGCTAGCTGTCAGCTTTCAGGAAGACCAGGGATCTCTGTACCACCCCTGTTAGCACATGGTTTCTTTCTGTGTCTTCTAGTAGAGTTGCAAATAGCTGTCTGCACCTCAGGTACAGTGAGCTGTTCAGTGTTTACCTGCTGACAGAATAGTGATGAGGAAAAAAAAAACCACCCAAAATTCTATAAATATGTGAACAACTTTTTTGTGGTATGTGAAGAGCTATATTTAACTCTACTGAAATCTGTTCCCCTTCTTCAGTAGCTGTATGAACTGTTAATTCAGTGTGTGTTTGATGTTCCTCAAGTTTTGCTGTCCTCTGGAAGATGAACTTGGTTTTGCCTCCCATTAAAAGACTGAGCTGCTCTGATTTGAGTTGGCTTTTGCTCTAAAACACATCAACGCAAGGAGAGAAAATATATTTTGTTGTAGGCAGGATTTCTGTTTTGGCTCAAAAGTACAGAAGTGGCCACACTTTCTGAAAAGGGCTTGTCAACAAATCTGAGCAGAAAAATTCTGATAAATCTACTTCATCTTAGTGTTGCTGTAGTCAGGAACAGCAGCCCTGTGAATTAAATGCTTCTGAATGTATTTTATGCTTTATTTAGACTCGGGGTGGGGGGGTGTCTTTAGGAGGTGAACACCAAACCCAAACCAACACTCACTCACACCCCCCACCCCCCTCCCAAAAAAAAGGTGCCAAACCCCCAGACGCCCAACGTAAAAGGAATGCCAGGTATATATTTCTTCCCTGCCGACACTTGGCAGGGAAACATGACATAGAGTAAGATATCATCTCAAAGAGGAGGAGCCATAGTATGCAGCAAAAAATATCTAAAACTGACTTGCAAGTAGAGAGCTTGATTCTCAAGTATGTCTTGATGTCATGGAATTGATGTTTTTCAGCACTAGAAGTGTTTTGTTTTCCAACTAGCATTGGTTGTTAGCACATAGAAGTTTATCATAAATACTGAGTACAGCGAAACCAAAGGATTTATTTTTTTGATCCCTTAACAAATGACTTAACGTGACAAAGTTTACCAAATTGCACTGCTTCCCCCTGCTGGAAACGGCTCTCTTCTTCTTGATGTCCTGGAGCACTTTCTTGCTTGCAGAAGCTTGTGGATTTACTGGTGAGTAGTTGGGATTCAAGCACACGGAGTCAGAACTCCTGTCCGTCTTAGCAGCCTTTTTTCCACTTTCTCATTGAAACTTACCTATGAGAAACGTGGTGTTGGTACTTAAAGCTTTTTTACATTCTGTGCAATGTCATTGAAGGTGCAGCTCGCTGTGTAACAAAGGCTTTTAAGAGCAAAGGTTTGGTTCAAACACCACCTCCCCAAACTGGCATCTAACTCACTTGAAAATAAGGTTCATAAAATCTCAAGGTTAGGGATGATGTATAAATTTAATAGAACTTGGGAAGGGAAAATGTGTTGAGCTCACACAGTACACAGGCTGATTTTTGCATGTGGTTCTGCTCACAGGTGTGGTGGCTGTCCTCTTCTGTGGAATAACCCAGGCGCATTATACGTACAATAACTTGTCAGTTGAATCAAGAAGTCGCACTAAACAGGCAAGACTGTCTTTCACCTTTTACACAGTGTGTTGCTGTAGTAGTCCATGTACTATTGTTTTTGTAAAGTGTCTTTATTGCTTGGCCTTTAACATGTGACTGTTTTCTCCCTAGCTCTTTGAGGTATTGCACTTCCTGGCTGAGAACTTCATATTTTCTTATATGGGTTTGGCACTGTTTACATTCCAGAAACATATATTCAGCCCAGTTTTCATCATTGGAGCTTTTGTATCCTTTTTTGCTTTGTGTGAGGTTTCTCTGTCTTATGTGCCTGAAAACTTGGGATGTCTGTTGGCTTTACTGAATAGAGGATGGGGGCTGACCTGAGTTTCCCTAATGTCTTGCAGGCACAATAATTTTGAGAACAATCTTTGGTTACCCCTTACATCAAAGCCCTAAGGCCTCTGTGCCACACAGTTGTTGGCTCTGTACCTGAGCAAGTGCTAGAAGACACATAATTTCAATAGATAAATAAATTAATATGCTTTATTGTGTGACTTGGCTATTGACAGCCAGCAGCGCTTGTGTGGCTCTTGTGTTTGAAGTTTGGAGGCCTGGAAAATGATTCATTTTTCTCTTCACTTCCAATGGTCCCTTGAAGAAAACAAACAAACTTCAAGTAAATAAGGAGGATTGTGGGTGAATAGATTATCTTTGAGCAATACCCCAAAGGTAGAGGTCAGGATCTCATGTGAGGGGAGGAGGGAGGAACTGGGCTGTGGTGCAGACCGTGACATGAAAGGTACACGCTGCTGATAGGTGCTGGTGTTGGAGTTGGGTATCTGTTCCTCATTGTCCCTGGCTGACATGGTACATTTGTCCTGGTTTTGGCTGGAATGTTAATTTTCTTCCTAGAAGCTGGTACAGTGCTGTATTTTGGATTAAGTGTGAGAATAACATTGATAGCAACAACTAAAACATCAGTGTGTTGCATAGTGCTTATCCTAAGCTAAGGATTTTTCAGTTTCCCATATTCTGCCAGCATGCAGGTGCATGAGAATCTGGGAGGGAGCACGGCCAGGACAGCTGACCCGAACTAGCCACAGGGATAGTCCATACCCTAAGGTATCCCAGAACATAGAATGCTGTACTCAGTATATGAACTGGGGGGGGTGGGGCGGGGGGGGTGTGGATCGCTGCTTGGTCATCAGTCAGCTGGTGGTGAGCAATTGCATTGTGCACTACTGGTCTTTGGCTTTCTCTCTCCCTCTTTTTGTTACATTCCTTCATTATAATTACTATATTTTATTATTATTATTGATATTTTTATATTTTATTTCATTTTACTTATTAAACTGTTCTTATGTCAACTCATGAGTTTTACTTTTTTTCTTTTTTTTTTTTTTTCCAATTCTCCTCCCCATCCCGCTGGGAGCAGGGGAAGAGTGAGTGAGCAGCTGCGTGGTGTTTAGTTGCTGGCTGGGGTTAAACCACAACACACTTGAATTCGCATGAGGCACTGCAGCTCCCGTCTCCTGTGCTGTGCTGCAGCTGGGGCCCCATCCCAGAACTGAACCCTTTTGTATTACTCACGCTCACGTAAGCTAGGAATCACTAGATTCCTCTCTGCATCCTGCCCCTGTTGAAACGGCTTATGTAACTATTTCTTCACTGTATGCTTGGCTGCTTGAAAACTCAGCGATTAAAAGTGTGCATGAAGCAATGGGAACTGGTCTAGTCCCGATTTCTCCCTGCCTGCTGCAGGAGTAGGGCTATTGGCAATGGAGGTAAACCCCGCATAAAGGGACATGTAAAAGATGGCCTAATCCAGAACGTACTTCTTTCCTCGTCTTCTTTCTACCGTTTTCTCTCATCTCTGTAACTGCTCTTAAGGATTTATTGCATTTGTCTTTATTTTCCTTTGGCCATTTACTTTTTTCTGAAACTTAATATATTTTCTCCTGTGTCTCCTCACGTCTCTTCTTCTGGCCTAAAAAATGCTGCAGAACCCTGAAGCCATTGGATAAAGACATGAACAGAGTGGTTGCATCTGGTATACTAAGCACTGTAATTTTTCATCTTTGCTGTGGCCTTCTCTCCTCTCTCAGGTTATGCTCTCTGCCTTGGGTTTGTTTTCAGTATCTATTTTGTTCCATTCTCTGTCTACCCTCCTACCTTTCATTACATTTTCCACATCTTTTTCTACAACTGCACTTAGCCTCTGTTGCCTCTTGAGTGTTTTTCTACCTTTGAGAGGAGGGCAGCTAGTGCTAGCACCCACATTTTGCCTCAACAGCTACTGTCCTTGTTGAGTTAACACCTTGTGGGCGTGAATTGTGGAGGCGTCATTAGCTCTTGAAAGAGAAAGGTTGGACTGCAAAGGCAGAGCTAAAGCCTCGGTGTCCGTTGACAAAATCCTAGCTGTTATTCCTATGTATATTGGTCATGATGGCTTCTGATGTTTGACTTCTACATTCTCAAAAGGACTACTATAAAAGCTGTTTGGAATAATTATGTGAAGCTTTTTGTATAAAGTAATAACCAAAATCTTACTTTCCTAGAGACATAATAAAGCAGTATCACTTTACTTCAGCTATGGCAGCAACCCGGTGGCGTCTAGAGCTCTTGCATGGTTTTAGTTTTTTTCCATAGGAGAGCTGTTTCATTCTTCTGATGTTGTTGTCCCAGCAGCAAATGATCAGTGTTTGGTGGGGTTCTGTTTGTGGTGGTGTTTTATAGGACTTCAACACATCACTCTAGTTTGTCCCAAAGTGTTCCTGAGACAGTGGAGGGTGTATTTAACTTTCTGCTTCTTCATGGGAACCACTGGATGTTTTATGCCACATTAAGGGAGGGAAGGAGCTTACCACCTACTGTCATGAATTTCTGCAATACTCTTTTCCTGCTCTTTTTGAACTTCATTCTAGTGCTAACAAGTGGTTTTTGGATTTGTCATCTTAGTAACTCTGTACTCTTAAGTGCTTGCCAACCAGTAGGAGACTTTGCCTCTTCAGGAGCTGTAATGGACTGGCCACTTGCTGGTCTTATGTTGATTTTCTTTCTGGACATAGGACTGCATTTCTGTTGATCTGAAACACGTAATTGAATGGTGGTGGTGATAGTTGTTTAAAGTGTGAATTCCTTAAGTAAAGTCTTCGCCTGTACAACTGGTAGTTGTAATACTAGGTTTAATTTCCCAGTGCATTAAAAAACCTGGGTATATTAGTTAAAATTTGCATTCTGTGCGGTGAGTTCTGTATGCACAGAACTGGTGAAAGTCTGTTTTATAAAGACAGAGATAACAAGAACACTTGATATCATGATGTAAACCTCTCACTAAAACAGAAGCTTCATGTTGCAGCCAGGTACCCAAGAGTACATACCTCAGGAAAGTGAAATCCTTAACCCTCAGCTGTGAACAGATTGCGATCTTTCTGGGCAGAGCTGCACACATCTACCCTCTCTCCTTCTTGTTGAATCTGGGCAGAAGGCATAAGATCAGCTGGAACTTTCAGCACATGATGATGTTTTCAGGTAAAAGCAAAAATGTTTGGTAAAGCAAAAAAATCTTATTTTTAACTCATAAGCAATTTATAGTACTACCTTCTGCTTTTATAATCCACATCCATGCATCCTGAATAGAAGACTTAATGGTTGTTGCAGCATGCCATCATGTGTCTTTCAACCTTTACAGAAAGTGTGTCACGTCTGGGAAGAGTGACATCTTGAAATGCCAGCTGCTGGCAGCAAGCAGTCATCTTGTGTTGAGAACAAGAGTATTTTCATTTGAAGTGTGTCTGAAGGGGATGGGGGAATTGGGATGTATCTCATCCAGACAGTTACATCTAGCTAAGATGATGTACACATTGTGCAGAAACAGATAGCCACTGAGAAAATAGAAGTGTATTTATGGGTGTGTTCTCCCACTTAGTTGGAGAAAGCAATGATTTGACTTCAAACTCCTTTATGATTTCTGTGACACACATAGCTGTTTGTGTGTCATTTAAAGCGAATCATGGAGTGTGTGTCTAAACATGTGCATCCTCAAGAAGTGCCAGGGATGCCTCTGTACGCGAGAGGGTGTAAAGAAGAGGGAGCGCGGTGACAGGACCAGAAGCAATGGACACAAACTGACACACAGGAGGTTCCCTCCGAACATCAGGAAACTCTTTTTACTGTGTCCAAGCACTGGCACAAGTTGCCCAGAAAGGTGGTGGCATCTCCATCCTGGGAGATATTCAGAAGCCGTCTGGACACAGTCTAAGGTCCTACTCCAAGTGACCCTGCTTCAGCAGGGGCGTTGGACCAGATGACCTCTACAGGTCCCTTCCAACCTTAACCATCCTGTGATTCTGTGATTCCCCTACTTAAGAAGTCTGCAGATGGCCAAATACCATGGCTTGTCCTTGCCAGTGGAGCTTCGTGACAGGGGGCAGGGGAGGGGATAGGTGGGGAATATAGTCTGCCTGTGAACATGTTGTTAACTAGAATATTTTTCCAGCTGATAACAATTTAGTAGCAAGAACTCACACTTCAGTTATGGAATCAACTGAAGTGTGCGTTTTCATTTGGATTAAGGGAGCTGATTGATTTCTGTAGTATGTTTTGCTGTTGTCCACAACTTGTTTGTTTCTGCATTTCTTTCCTGTCAGTTTTTGGAAATACACCTTTTCTTAATACTTGTGGAATCTGTAAGTTACAGAAAACTGCCAGGGCAAATAACGTTCTAAATCGTCTTCGGGCATAATTTGCCAGGGAAACTGAGGGAATTAAAACTTGCTGGAGCCCAGTGCTTTCTGCTTGTCACTTTGTGCCTATGTGGCAGAGAGGGAGCAAGAAATGATGCTATTCTATAAATAGGTGTGGTTGCACTTCTGAAGCTCTGCTATTTCATGCTTTTGCGTAGGTCTCAGGGGAGCAATGGCATTTGCTTTGGCTATACGAGATACTGCTACCTACTCACATCAAATGATGTTCTCAACAACTCTCCTCATCGTCTTTTTCACTGTGTGGATTGTCGGCGGAGGTACAACTCCTATGCTGTCATGGCTGAACATCAGGTCAGTATGCGACTGTGTGCTGGGGAGACTTCACTTTTCAAGTGGCAAGTGTGCTAATCGGGCATAGTCCTACAGAACTTGTTTGATGCTTGCTAGAGGTGTTGTAGGTATTTAGAACACTTTGTTTTACAGAGGAAGGTGCTAGTGCAGGCTGGTGGAGAAAATATACTACTAAAGCTCTCTGATGCCCTGCAAGTAGGTATCTAGGTCTTTGTCAGCCCAGTAAGATGTGGAATAGTGTTGCCTGTTAAAGCAGCTCGTGTATTGAAAAGAAAGAATTAATCTATCTAGTCCCATGTAAGCTTCCCTTCCTATTATACTAAGACATTTCCTTGTCTTTTGGCTCTTGGTAATGGCCTTGTTATGTTTTTTAAGTTAAATGGAGTCTTTAGTGGGTGGTGCTAAACTTAGTGCACTTTAAACATCTATCTGGATAAATCTGATGTGATCTAAACAACTGGGGTAAGTGGGATCCTGCTAGTCTTCTGGGTGTGTTTTCTCCTGTTTTGAGAAGACCTGTGAAAATGGTAAGTGACATGATTATAGATGTTTGTCTGTAAATCCTGGCCAATACTTAGTATTTTTGGGCTGCAAGTATCTTCATGTTTGAGGATATTTATGAACAGAGGTGCTAGAGAATTGTGACTCGATTGTTGTTAAAGACCGCATATGTTATCGTTCTGTGAAAGGTAAATGCAGTGGAATTAAAACAATACATGCTGTACAAACCCTTCAGTGTGTGTTTCGTATGTAAATTATTTGTGCTCTTTGGCACTTGAAAGCTTACTTTGTCTTGCTTTCTAATTCTGCTAACCAGAATTTGTATCCCATTGTCTTGCCATAAGATCGGAAAAAAACAGTCTTGGGTAAAACCAGTTTCAGTCTTTGGAAGAACTGATCATTCTTAGGTGCAGCTTTTGGAAAACTTAAGTGAACTGCTTGTGGCAATAGGTAGCAGGTGCTTTCTAGGTTGGCAAAAAAAATGGCTAGGAATCCCAGAAATGCTTGTGAACTCCTCTCGTTGAAGGCAGCATGCCTCTAGCTGGAGACAGGCATTTCATCAGTGATTTACACTATCTCAGCTCTGACTAACAGCAAACGTCGGGAAATCACGGTTTCGGGTTTTTTGGTACCAAATGAATCCATTTGTGTCCTTTTAAAACTGTCTTTAAATGCAAGTTCCAGATGTTTGGCTAGCACACCAGAAAGAAACACCACTTCCATTTAGTCAGGCTCTCTGGAGGTCATGTCACTGACAACAGGTAATGCGACACCTGGTGTGAAGTCAACAACAAAACCAGTTCCCGTGCAGTTGTGTCATTAATGTTTGTGAGATACCACATCCTAATGATATTTCTCAGCCCAGCCTGACTGGTTTCTGTTTCCACATAAGATCTGTGTAACAACTTTAAAAAGGTACCTGGAATAGGTGCCACGTGCAGCTTTCCATTTGGCCCCCCTGACAACAGAAGGAGATTTCTGTCCGATGGTGGTATGTAAGGAACAACTGTACTAATAGACTTCCACAAGCAGGACAAGCACACTGTCTGCATAACCAGGAGTGTGCATACACTGTCCGAAGTGTAGGGCAAGAGGGAGCGGAAGATGAGTTCTGGCCAGCAGCATACAGGTAAGAACGCTGCTTGCAGTCTGCTCGCAATAGCCAAGCGAAGTCTGCCATGATCTGCCTGCAGCCTCTGCGATGGCTGATGTGAGGATATCCCTTGTCTGATCTCCACTTGATTGGATTCTAAAGCATTTTCTGAAGTGTGGCTACAACCAGGTCAACAAAACTGACTCTAACAGCTCTCGTCATAGGTGCTGGCATCGTGAGCCTTCTGCCCTGCTGCCTGCACTTCTTTTGTTAAGGGAGCATAGCTGGGTATTTCCTTCAAACCTTGTCATCCAGCAAGGGACAGGATGTGCTGCTGACCACCGAAGTGAAGAGGGCTCCTTTAGTTGTCAGCAGCAGGACAGGACTGAATTGTAGCAAGTGGCCCAGCTCCTGGCCAACTGGACAATAGTTCTGATGTAACAGCTTTTTTTTTTTTTTTTTGCCTTCCCCCATTGAGCCTAGGAAGGAGGTTGTGGAAGGATCCAAGAATATGCACTTACTCCTTTAGCCGGACTAATCTGGTTCAGTAATGCAACTCTGTGAGCCTGGATGATGAGTTTCTCCTGAAGGGAGGAAGGGCTAACGCTGGATCCATTCCAGGCTTGCCCTTCGGGTAGGCTGTATTTGCAAAACTCATTAATGCGGCCAGCAAGGCAGAACAGCTGGAAAAGATGTGATACCATTCCTAGAGGAGGAGCTGCCAATGCAGTTGGCCTAACCATAGTTTTGAGTGATTTTTATTTTATTTTTTTTTTTTTTTTAGGAAATTTACCCACCCTTGCTAGTAAGCAGTAATTTAAACTGTCATTTGTTTGGCATGGTTGACAGAAAATAAATGGTTAATTTCCTTATTAAGGGGAGGATATGATGTAAACAAGGGGACTCTAAGTAGGAAGTATTTGAGGACTGCATGGGTCTGCCTACAGCTGCCTTGATGGGCGCTGCTCTATTAATGATGGAGACCACACTTTCTGCGACCACATGAAATCAGGTTTGTGCCAGGAGGTGGCAGCCCTGTGCAGCTGATCGAGAACTGGAAACTTGGTGCTGCTAAAGTACTCTCTGTGAAGTCCTGTCTGACCCTACAGATTTAAGAAAGGGACAAATTAGTTTCCAGCTGAATTTTAGAAATATGCTGCTTTTCTCTTTTCCATCCCTTTCTACCCAGTGGAAGAGATAGGCAGGAGGAGATGAAGATGAGATGCTGTCCCAGTGCCTCACTCAGCAGCACAGTGTATAGTGCTGATGCAGTCCTGAGGCCATGCAGTAGGTAACTTGTTCCTGGGGTGGCTTGGGGTGCTTTCTGAGCCTTGGTACTTAGCAAAAGGTTAGATTGCAAGAGGCTGGAAATAAGTAGTTCTCCCATACAGGATTATTTTGGAGAAAAGACGTTAAAAGATAAAAGGTGGTTTGCTTCCTATATTAAGTGAAGGGGCACGAGAAACTAATGCCATTTGTGTCTTGAGATGTGTGTGGACACCTAAAAGTCCAGCTCTGGTGTGAAGTTCACACTGGTTGTATCCTTGTTGACTTTGGCCTTTGTGGAAGGAAAGATGGAAAGCCAGTCAGTCATTACAAAGTCTTCATGAAGTAGTTGTCCTTGCTGCAGTGTGGAGGTGAGAAGAAGATGAGGGCCTGCTTTAATGAAGAGCCGACCAAGCTGACTGACTCTTTAGGCTGGTTTAGCTTGCCTGGTCATTATGTGGCAGAGTGGTGTTACTGTAATCCTGTGAGTACTGGCCTGCCCATCAGTGGGGTTTCTGGGTGGCCCGTTCAGTAGTTCCTATGGGCTGCGATGGGCTGAGCTACTTCCATAGGAACTGCAGGCACATGTCTGTTGCACTGGGCAAGTCAGAGAAGCTAAGGCAGAGGTCAACACCAAAAGACTTTATTTAAGGTTGTGCTTGCGTGACTTAAGTAGAGCAGTACCAGAGAGCTGACTCCAGCCAAGACTTTCAGCCTAGCTTGACACCGCTATGTTCATGGGGAGGCACTTCACAGAATCACAGAGTGGTTGGGGTTGGAAGGGACCTCTGGAGATCATCCGGTCCAACCCCCCTGCTAAAGCAGGTTCACCTACAGCAGGTTGCACAGGACTGCATCCAGGCAGGTTTTGAATATCTCCAGGGAAGGAGACCCCACAACCTCCCTGGGCAGCCTGTTCCGGTGCTCTGTCACCCTTAATGTAAAGAAGTTTTTCCTCATGTTGAGGTGGAACTTCCTGTGCTCCAGTTTGTGCCCATTGCCCCTTGTCCTGTCGCTGGGCACCACTGAAAAGAGCCTGGACCATCCTCTTGACACCCCCACCCTTTAGATATTTATAAGCATTTATAAGGTCCCCTCTGTCTTCTCCAGGCTAAAGAGCCCCAGGTCTCATTCAGCCTTTCCTTATAGAAGAGACGCTCCAGTCTCCTCATCACCTCTGTAGCCCTCCGCTGGACTCTCCCCAGTAGTTCCCTGTCTCTCTTGAACTGGGAGTCCCAGAACTGGACACAGTACTCCAGATGTGGCCTCACCAGGGCAGAGTAGAGGGGGAGGAGAAGCGCCCTTGACCTGCTGGCCACACTCTTCTTAATGCACCCATTGCATGCAAGCATGGGGCAATGCCTATGCAAGGATCCAGAATTGCTTTGCTGTGGCTTAGAGGCAGAGGCATGTGCTTCTGCCAGCACCATTAATTGCATAGCACTTGGGATGCATACTTTGTTCTCTATTTCTGGTGGTCCTTTCTCTTGCATGATGTGAAACACATGAAAAGTAGGTGAAGGTCGGGGAGGCTAACATGAAAATTAAGTTTTGGTAAAGTAAAAAGCAATATAAGGAGGAAAATAGGCAAAAATGCCCTCTGCTTCCCCTTGCTGTGTTCTGAATGTCTCCAGTGATCAGAAGAGCAGATATCTTTCCAGATGGGTTATGTTACCAGGGTCCACTGACCAGACTTAAATGTACAGCTAAGCACCTATAAAGACCTATAGTTTGTAGCAGAGGCTTTATTTTACTGCTTAACTGGTTGGGAAAGTGAGGTCATGACAGCAAAACCTGAGTGAAAAATAATGGGATCTTTAGATGCTATTGGTTTCTGCCACTTGATGCTGAGCAAGTTAAAAATTAACATCAGAAACTGGAGTTAAAGCCATGATGTCATGTGTCTGAATTTCTTGGCTGTCTATCAGTGAGACGTTTCCAAGCATGTGAGTGGTAAACAGTTACACTTTTCTAGCAGTAAATTATTTTTTTCTGAGAAACTAAAGCATGACTTGGATATTAAAAATACAGTCTCATCCTTTGAGACTAAAACAACAACAAAAAAAAAACAATTTCCTGCCTGCATTTTTAACAATTTCAGCAAACGCAAGAGCCTTGTAAATCAAAACCACTGGCAAAGTTCCTCTTTTCAGAAAAGTAGCTGACTTATCGTTTCACTTATCTGTCACAGGAAAAGAGGGAACTCCTAGCATTTGTATTGCAAAATAATGTTTTTTTTCATTTGAGGTTATTGACCTGGTTCTTTTCATGTCAAATGAAGCAACATGTAGATTAATGCCTTCCTCACCTTCATAATCTGCCTCAAATGAGGAAGTTCATGTTTATTTTAATCAAGTCATTTCAGTTATACTTAGCAACCTTTTTCTAAATCTTAAAGCATTATATCTTTTGATTTGAAATACTTTAGGTATCTTTCTACCATAAAAGTTAAAGGTTGCACAGTCAATGTCAATTTAGATATTTACTGCCTTATGTCTGACTTTGCAAACACAATCTTTGTAAGAGCTTTCTATTTAGTGATTTCTTTTTTTCTTTTTTCTTTGTCTCTTTAAATGAGCAAACTGGACAAGAAACCTGGAAACCCTAACTCTCACATAGCTGCTCTGTGACCTCCCTGACTGTCTGGGATGGTGGTAAAACTTGACAGCTTGGTAGCAGTCTCAGGTTATACTCTGTTATCTTACCCAGGGTGGTCCAACAATAAAATGTGCATTTTCAAATACCATGCCTCAGTGTGCTCTGATCGCAGGAGGCGAGTGTCGATGCTGTGATCAGCCTTGATTTATGTTCTGGACTTGAGTGGGGGATGTCTGATAGGAGGTAGCCTGTTTCCATTATTCTAGAACTCAGATCCTTCACTTCACTGCCTTCTAGCTGGTCTTTGCTGCCCTTAAAGGGCAGATGCACAGACACAGGTGCTGTCCCTTGCCCTCAGTTGTGGGCTTTTTCCTTTCACTCTCTCTCTGCACCAGTTTCTCCAGTTGTCTTTCCCACTAGTTTCTCCCATCTTCCTCCTTCTTTCCCAGTCTGTACTTTCTCATTGTTGATCTTGAATCTCTCTTAATGGAGGTGCAGTGCGGCCTCCAAACCTCCAGCCTCACCCCACTGGGTCTTTCCCTCAGTAAGAGATTGTCTGATTGTCTCCTCTTTTGGGTGTCTGGAAGTAAGCATGGGAGATGCTTCCTTATCGCTGTTCTTGTGCTCTGAAACATAGCAATTCACACCAGAGAGAAAAAGTGTGGGGAAGGCCCAGACCCTGGAGGAACTGGATTGAGATATATCTAGAGCACACGGGTGATGTGGGTTTAACTGCCAATCTTTGGCAAGCCTCTGCAGGCAGTTTCAAGAGTTATTATCTTGGTTAGGTCAAGTAAAGAAATACTCAAAGGCACCCTAAAACCAACCTGAAACAACTTTTTCTAATTCCAGGGGGGTTTTAGTGGTTGGCTTTATTTTTTTTTTTTTTAAATTTAAAACGTGGTGGTGGGAATTCTCTTCTTCCTCAGTCATCTTCTGAGAAACACTTGAACTCTTACAAAATGGCTAAAATTTTCCAAAAATGCTGTACTCATTATAGACATCTGGGAAAACTTCAGTATATTAACTTGGCAAAGATACAGCAAAGAGAAAGAAGTTGTAGAAGGGAAGTTATTGGGCAGTTTTTAATTTTAGTTTTTGCTGAATATGCAGAGCTGTCTCGGTGTTGGCCTTCCAGAGCAGAGTGCTCTGACCTGGAGTGTATGTTGGTATGGGAGAAAAGCTATTGAACCAGGAATCCAAAACAAATGTATCCAAAGCCTGGTATTTGCCTCGGCCTTCGAGGATTAGATGAGTGCGTGCTCTTCGTAGCAGAAGTTATGGCCTTAAATATTTGGTTTGTCAAGATGTCAGCCTGCAGTCAGGGTGTGTATACCTGCTCTTTGTAAAGTGAGGTCTCTGTGGATTTCTGATCATCTGGGCTTTTATTTCACATAAGCAATATATAGTTCACGTGGCATGCTTTCATGGAAAAACGGAGCGGGGGGAGAACCCACAAGCTGCTAAGGAATTTGTATGGAAAATATTAGAAACCAACATGTTTTCATTTGTGGTTCATTGTTTGTTTTTTTTTTTTTTAAGTACAATTGAAAAAGGCAAAACAAGGAGTAAAAACACACTCTGCTTTGACTGGAGATTAATCACGTTACAGGTTGTTAGTCAATTGTTAGTGAAACCAACAGAGTAATTTATATGTATTACCGGTTGTTTCAGACTGCTCTGAAAACTAGGCAGTGTTGGTGGCTTCTTTCATATATGCATAGCTTCCTGTGATTGCTTTCTCTAATGGCTTTTTCTTTTTTAGACCATATGTGGGTCCAAAGTGGTTAGGAATTGTCTCAGATTGGCTCTGTCTCTGCAGCAGCTCTCTTGAGAGCTATTGAATCTAATTCTTGGGGGGAGGTAGACTGTCATGAATACAGGTGTTTTACCAGCCTGAATCTGAACAAACGAAGAATATTACTGGACATCTCATTCATAAAGTGCTGACATTGTTAATTTTTATGGGTTTTTTGTCACTTTGCCATTGTTCTGCCATTCTTATTCTTGTATGCTTTGTCTCTTTTTGATTGGGTAGGGGTTTTTTATTTTGTTGGTTTGCTTTGTTTTGCTAGGGAGCTCTGTAAAGCTACCATCTCATGAGCATTTTGTTACTCACATTGCATTCTTGTACTGTACCAGAGTTGGTGACCATGTTCCATCGGTGGAAGAGATGAGTGAAAGCCGCTGGCTGTATTTCAGGTGACATTGTGCTTTCCTTGATACCAAATTAACCTGGTGCTTGGGTTTCTTCAACTTTATAACACTAAGTGTGTGCTCTTTTTCTATACTATGGCATGCTGCTGCTGCTTCTCCTTTTCTGCAGAGTGCCGTAGATGTTCCTCAATTCTGAGTCTGTTCTTTTCTTCTGAGCTGGGAGAGTATGGATCACACATCATGTCTTTAGCTTAGGAAAAAACCCACAAAACCCCACATGCTTTAACTCTATGTATGGGTAATTAATGAAGCACAACTAGCATCTCCAGCCTGGGAAGACTTGAAAGCTGAGAAATCATGGATGCTGTCCTATGATCCTTAGTCACACAGGTACTCTTAAGCATTCCTTGGGGTTATTTTGTACAACTGTTTGGTTGGAAGGGACTTAATACGTCATTTAACCCGGCCTCTTTGGACGTGTATTTTAAAAACTGAGTTATCACATTGCTTTATAGGAAGATGCTAATAAGAGTAGAGATATGCCAGAACCCTAGTCTTCTCTGGTTGATGGTTTCTTGAACTGTTACATGGATAGAGAGAGAAGAAAAAATAAATCTCTAACTGTTATCTATAGGCAAATGTGTATTTGTATGTATGTGTGTGTGTATGTGTATATATATAAAAATATATACAGAATATTTATGTAAAGAAAAGTCTTTGGGACAGGGCAATGGTAAGTTTTTTTCATACATCCTGTCACACTTGAAGGTTCCCAGCAAACTACTAAATTTGCCAGAGACGCTGTACGTTAGCTTGCACAGAGAATCTGAGAACTATTATCTATTACAGACATTCTTGGCTGTTGCCGCAGTAATTACATATGCTAGAATGTTATAAAGCCTGGTATTTTGTTAACTTGTCATGTATGTGTTGTAGGGCCTTGGAAAAGTTTTTGCAGTATCAGAAGAAATGGTTCCACCCGTTTTAAAATTACATACTGAGGAACTTGAAGTTCCATCTGCTTTTTTTTTTTACCTTTCCTTTCACTTACATTTATTTTCCACTTTGAGTTCCACGTTTTGCATGTCAACCATTTTCTACGGCACTGTTTAAGTTACTGAATTATACATAGGTTTAGTGTTTGAGGGATCAAATCTGAGTAACTGCTCTCCTACATGTGGTACTGAAATTGTAGCTGTAGAATAAGGATCAAGAAGGTCAGGAGTCAGTTAAAAGCAGAAACGCAGTGCTTTGGTATTGGGCATTAGGAGCTCAGTGGTAGTCGCTTTGCTATTACAGAGCTGTTAAAACGTGAAAAGCCTTTTATGCCTTAAAACCAAAAATGTACTTTAATTATGGAGGAGTGAAGACATATACTTAAATTGGATTAATTTTTACTGTAGCACACCCTTGTCTACAGGTTCCAGTAAACTTCCCAAGGCAGAAATAAATGTCACTGAGGTTTATGTACTAGTAATTGTCTATACTGGAGTTTTAAGGTCTCTACCAAATACCACGTTGATGCTGATGGGGAAAATAGATGAATTTTTCACCAGTTTTGGGATATATATGCATTGTTACAGCTGAAAGACTGCTCATATTCTTCATCTGACATCTGCTTTTTAAAAGTGACTTATTTGAATTGCTACTGTACACCCTCAGGGAATCCACACACAACTGCTGCAATGGGCTTTCAGAAAGGGTGGTGAGGAAAATGAAGATGCTTGATGGCATCTGCACTGCCCTGGCCTTCGCTGTCCTGCAGCTGACGTGCCCCTCAGTCCCCATCACGTGGACTGTGCCTCTTCAACAAAACACCGATTTCAAACAGAGCTTGCTCACCTGCCTTTCTGCTGGGGAGTCTGAGCAAAACACCGGTCATTAGCATGGCTACTCTCTCTCTGCCCCGATCTCTGAGAAGGGATCTGTGTAAATGAATCTGGTAACGATTTTTCTTAATTTAAAAGCTGGTTAAATAAATGAGAACTGATACTGACCTTTACAGCACATTTAAATTACAGGAAGCTTTTTAAATGTACTTAAGGATGCGAGATGGAATTTTTTTTTTTTTAACCACCAGAAGAAGATTATGTTGAAGACATACATGCATCAGCTTTACTTGTGCTTTTAATTATGGAAATAGTTAAGAAAGGATGAAGTAACTAAATATTTTCTGTCCTCCTTTTCACTATAAAGGAGGTTGGGAGAGACTTGGCTGGTTTTTAGTATTGCTTTGTTTCAGGTGATAAAGATGACACTTTCTTAGAAATTTGGTAGCAAGGCCTGCAAAAATGTGATGCTTCCCATGAGACCAAGGTGTATATACCTTGAATCTTAAACAGGCAGACTTGCTACAAAAAATTAAAGCTTCCTGTAACATTCATGCTAGAGTAGAGGATAAGAGACATGGTATGCTGATTGAAAGATACAAAAAGTAGTTGTGGGAATTCAAAATGGTAATGTATTTTGTGTTAATCTGTGAACTGAGGAACACACTGTGAAACATGAACTTAAAAAAAAGTGATTTATGGAAAAGAATTAATTAGAAATACTCAAAATATAAATTCATCTGAATAACTTTGAAAAAAGTTTAAAATGGACAAGTCTGTGTCGATGTACTTTCAACATTGAAAGAAACATCTATAGTAAGAATTTTTTTCTAAAAGTTGAACCATTTTAGTATAGAAAAGCTCTCTTCCTCTTTAGCACAACAGTGAGCCCAGCCACCTGGTCTGTGATGTACTATGACTTTTCACTGAACAGTACAGTCATCCTGCTTTGGTCCTCCACTAAGTGCCCTTCCCCTGCCGAAGAGCAATTAAAATCCCTGAAACAAAAGCACAACCTTGTAAGTCAAGTGAAAGCTGAGACGTTCTGAATTGTTTGGTTTTCTTATGTACTGTGAAGTGAATGGGTAGCCCAGTGAGTTAAAACCATTTAGGGAATGCCAGCTATGTTCATCTTCTGGAACAAGGCATCTTGAACTCCCCGATCACGTTGCCAGCTGCGCAGCTAACATGGGTGTGGCTGCTGTGCATAGTACATTGAACCTCCCAAAAGTGCAGCTGGAGTTCGGAAAGCCACAAATCATTTTCTTTTATTTTTATGTGTATTTATGAAGGAATGCGCAATATTATATACATATATTGCCATACTGACTGGGTTTCCTGACGCTGCTTGTCAGCTTTCTGCATGAGGCTTCACTAAGTAACTAGTTTGTCTGCAGAAAACCCTTCTTACCTTGTCTTCACCGCATAGTGATAGCCTAAGCAGTGACGTCTAAGCCCTTGTAACCCTTCAGAGCTCTTGCGTGTGGCGTTCTGTTTTAGCGTGTGTTACAATCCGATACCCAATCTTGTCTGTCCAGTATTCCCTTAAACTGGTGAAGCTTTTTTAGTCTTGAGGCTGGTCAGTGCCAATGAATTCCCAGGCCAAATGCGCCTAAGCGTTAAGATGACTCTGTGGAAAAAGGAAGTGAAGAGGAAAGAAGAGAGACTGAGGGGGAAAAAAAAAAATCCAAGCAGAGGACAGGGTCAGCACTAGTTCCATATGAGATGGCTGCAGGCTGTCTTAGAGTGGCCTCCTGGATTTTCCCTGAACTACATTGTCATGCAAGGCCTTGGATTGACCGTGAGTCCACAAGGATGACTTAAAACTTCAGTTCAATGCCTACTTTTCTTCTTCTGTTGTTCCATTAGAAAGTGCTGCCCTGCGCTTGGAGGTGTTCCCTTTTAGTTTAATCCTTGCAGTCTTCTGTACCTAAAGGTAAATCATGTCTGGATCACCGCTTGCCTTCTGCAAGCATGTATTCCTGGGACACACAAAGGATATGGTCTTACCAGCAAGGTTCTGTTGGTTTCTGGTAATTCTTAGGGATGTTGCATAAACACTGTGGCTAGAAATAGTTGACACAAAGTCAAAGTAACAAAGAAATTGCAATAAACCAGCTCAGTCCCTTTTAAGAGGGGGGAAATGAAGAAGTTAGCCATTTCAGACAATATGTTTTTGTAGTTGCATGCATTTCGCTAGACATATTATGCAACATGGTAAGACTGAAACACAACCCATTTGAGACTGACAATCTTACCTAACATTTGAGGCTGGAGGTCTAGCTTCTATAAGAGAACAAAGATTAAGGCATGAATAGGATTTAACAAATAGCTACCCCCAAAACAGACCAGAAAAACCTGAACGTAATTACAAGGATTAAATACCCATCTTGGATTGGAGCACTATGTGAAAGGATGGTTCGGTAACAAGGTGCTCACTAACTATGCAAAAGCGAGTAGACAGTTTCTAATTAACATATTATTCTGTAATCACCCACCATCTTATCATACAGACCCTCCCTCACTCAGGCAGGAGGCTGGACTAGACAGACCTCTTGTTAATCCACTGTGGCTGCGTTGTGTTAGGTGAATGAAACTTGCAGCAAATTAATAGTATGAGTCTTTATAAAGACTGTTTTTGTTGCTTCACACAGTGCATTAAAACTTGGTGTGTGTTTGTCTTTTTTTAATCATATATTTGAACCATTCTCAGGCCTTTCTGGCAGCTAAGTTATCTGCCATGTCAAATATTTAGGCTGGGCTTATCCTTAGTCTCTGGTTTCTTGCTTCTGGACATGAAGGATGTTCTTCACTGAAGAAGATGTCACCCACAGTTCACATTTAAGCCAAAAATAGTATTTGCCAGTGTCCTAAAAGAATTGGCAACAAAGGTAAGCAGTTAACAGCTTTAACTCCATCTCGGTATCAACTTTATCTACAGGTAGTTGCTGCTTGAGTGAAAAACTATCTTGTTTATAGCTATGTAACTGCAGGGGAATAATGGACAGCTCTTCCTCAAACTATTCTTATAACCTCTCTGAATGTAGCTTTGCTGGGTGCTTAAAGTGCTTCTAAAACACATTCTGCCAAACTTACAGCGTTTGCAACCCCTGGTAACACCACTTGCTTTGTTTTCCTAATGTTTCTGTAGGGTTGGGGTTGACCCAGATCAGGATCCTCCACCTACTAATGACAGCTTTCAAGTCTTACAAGGAGTAAGTAATTACATAACTTCTCTATTAGGCTGATCTTATTTTATAACTAAGGCGATAAAGAACTGCAGAAGCTGTGTGCATGGATAAAACCTTTCTCTCCTAGCTGGCAAGTCAGTAATGCATTTTATTTTATGATACTCAAGAAATGCCCACCAAAAAACATTCTGTGGTGTTGGGTGTAGTGCTGCAGCGTTCAAATTTTTGTGTATATGTATGTATACAAGGCATCAAAAACCTTCCCAAATCTGCTAATGCACTTTTATTTAACAATGTGCTTTCCTCTTCTCCCACCCACCCAACATGCTTGCTTTTAACATGCTGCAGCATAAACAGTCCTTCCCAAGACCAACCCAGAGATAAATCTCTTGGCTTCTGTTCAATAATTGATACCAAATTTTGGCCCTTGAACTTGCTTAAGAATCAAAGATTACGTTCGCTAATCTGACCTCAGCTCCTGTGTACTATGCCACAAGGCAGCTGGATCTTGCCTGTACTACCTACCCACCTGTATGAGGCAAAAGCACCACTGGAAAACTGTCATTTATATTCAGCAAACTGTTGCTGTGACTCTTTAGCGCAGCTTTCTATGCATCAGTGACAACCCAAGAGTTGACTTTTTTCCCCTGCAATATGTTATTGGCAAACAAGACTATTGAGAGAATGTCGTTCATAGCAGAAATTTCAGTTTTCCTCGTGTATAAATTGAGTGAATTCACAGGAGGAGTGAAAGGTCTGGAAAAAAGCCCAACAACAACCCAACATTTTCTGAGGCTTAACTGAGAGCTTCCTCTGTCCAGACCTTAGTTTACACTCTCCCAGAGTACTGTTTGACAGTAATTGTTCAGTAGCACAACTGGTTGCTTATGTAGGAACCTGCTAGAGGAAGTTGAATGAAAGGAAAGACAGATGTCTTTGCACCCAGAGGATGCTTAGGGTGCAAGTGTGTGAACTGTGCTTTGTAAAAGTCAGGCTGTATGATGCTGGTGTTCAGCCTGGTCACAGATACGTGCGTGGGGTACTTGCTGTATTTGGGATCAGCTTTGTTATTAGTGGTTTCTCCTGCCTTGCTTTTTTTATTTTATTTTATTTTATTTTTTTGTCACAGGTTGTATAGATAAGAGTTACTTGCTCAGGAAGCATCCCTTTCATTGCAGAAACTGCATTAAGGCATCTCTATGTTCTTTGTAGAAGTTTGTGTCCAACACAGAAAATAAGATTCTGAAATGGTGGGTTTGGGTACCAAAAAACGGTGAACTTGTTGTGTGTTTTTTTTTTTTTTTTTAATCTACCTGGGAGCAACCAGAGGGCCAGGCCTCAAAACACTTTTTTACAATGAAGGCCACTTCATTGCATTTATTGCATAAACCCAAGGTTAGGAAGTGGTATGATGGTAAGATGGTTTTGGCCAGTTCAGGCTGAGCTTGTCGGTGTTTGAGGAATTGCTTTAACAGGAAACAGAGCATGGGTATCCTGTTCTCATTCAGTGTCTGGATGGAAATATCTTGTTTGCTTTTTTCCCATGTAAACATAAAGCACTTACCCATTTGTTTTGCTCTTTAGCTGTGTATTGCATTCCTAATGGAGTCCATTAGTCAGTTCCCTTTGGATTCCTCTTTCTTTCACCAAGCCAAGATTAGCAATGTGTCAGAGTTAAAGAAAATATATCATTTGGGATGGGGAGGGAGTGAAAATATACTAAGCTTTAACTCTTGGTGGATCATTGATTTTATTTATTTTTTATTTTTTTAATCAGAAGTACACAGGGCAATCCTGTCTTGTTATTTTCCAGTAGTTTGAAAGATTGTTCATACAAGGCATTCTCACTTCATCTGTTTTCCTGTATTTAACTGTGGCTTCTGGCCAAATAAAAACAAACTCCAACCAACCAAGCAATGAAAAATCACACAAAACCCCAAAACAGTATCAAAAGTAAAAACAAATGCAGCTGCAGGCCAGCTGGTGTGATGACTTGCAGCACAGCTAGTAAAGGGATTATGTTTAACACTGTTAGCACTTCTGAGGTTGATCTAGTGCTTAATGAAATTTGCATGACATTCCTCAATTGTGATTTGATATGGATTCCTTGTTAAGCATGTTTCTTTTAAGTGGGATATATTTCATCAGGTTTGTGAGAGTTTATTGAGTAATGATAAATTCCCTTGTTCTTCCAAGGAAGCAATAGGTTTAAGGAAAGAATACCAAATAGATCTAGAATTAAGGAAGCCAACCAAGCAATGAATAGGGATCAGTCCTGGATTATTCCTGTTCATTTATTTGGGGAGGGTGATGGGGATGAGACATCAATGAGGCTTATTTGTCAGTTTTGGACTTATTTCTCTATCCATTACTTTATTAACTGTGTGATAAGCTTTTAGACTCAAGGAAGCTTGGTGGTAGAGGGCTCATTAAGGTAACTGGAGGGCAATGAAGAGTGCCTACTTCTCGGCAGTCGCTTCTGGTCTTTCTAGGGGAAGAAAGCTCAGTATAAGCATGTCTCTAAAAAGCTTTCTTCTGCAGTCCAAAGTACAGTACTGAAGTAATTTGGCTTTTTTGAACAGGATGTTATAGTGTGAATGACTGGAATGTATGACTTGTTGGGGTTTTTGTTGGTTTTTTTTTTTTCTTGAAATAATTGAATATGTTTTTATCTTATTTTTAGGATGGCCCAGATTCTGAAAGACGGAACAGGACAAAGCAGGAAAGTGCTTGGCTTTTCAGGCTATGGTATAGCTTTGACCATAAGTATCCTTTTGAAAACACAGCTTAGCTGCAAGGCATGAAATGTTCACTTTTTTCGTTTCCATGTACCCATATGTAGCCTTAAGCACTTGAGAGAGTCAGACAGGAGAAAGATCAAGTATTTGACAGGTTCAAGGCACAGAACTGAAGCTTGAACTCGCTGACTTGGAAGATGGACCTTTCCTTTCTCTAATCCATGGTATGTCACACTTGCTGGAGGACAGAAACCAGTCAGTTCTAGATGAAGTTCCTTCCTAAACAGTAAGACAGCCAATTAACTATTTCAGATCCTCTCACTTGTTTCATTAATCTGTTACCTCCACTGATGCTCATAGCACAAACTAGTTTTCCCGTTCATTGTACATGTCTAAGCCCCAACTCATTGCTCTGAAAAGCCATCTGCCTTTGTGATGAAATCCTCTTTGGAAACTCATTGCTGATATGGGAAGTTCTGGAACTAAAAATCTACATGTGATCCACCTGATTTCCTTCAGTACATCCAGAACTTCCTATGGATGTTAAAGCAGAGAGTGCCCTTGTGTATATGTAGTACTGTACAACCTTTCTGAGGCTGCTATTATACTATTTAGATAGCCTTGTTTAAGCTTCTGAGCAATTTTTGTGTAGCTGTCCTGTCTTCTGTGATTGTGGTGTTTTAATCTACTTAGCATATACTTAATCAGTATATCATACAGGTGCCCCTCCTTAATGGATTACACTCACTTAGTGGAAAATTACAAAGATAATCCTGTGGCCATGGTAAATCACTATACCCAGAAATTCAAAGAAGTTTCAGTTCTTGATTTCTGGGACAGTTAACTATATATAAATATCTGTGACACAGCGCCTTAGTCGTGTTGCAGCTTGCATCTGAGAAGTGAGTCTTTTCACTGGGGTCTCAGCCATTGGTTGACGAGAGACTGCTGGTCTGGTTGGAGAACAGTTGTTTCCTTCCATGCCTTGTGCATCAGTGTTTCCCACTCAGGGAAACCCAGGTATGGCATTGAAAGCATTCAGATCTAATAGCACTTGCCTCTTCAGGTTAAAATCTGTTTGTGACTGATGCTTTCAGATGCAGTAGCATTGAGCCAAAGCCCAGAAGGGAGTGTATGTGCTAGTTTAAATATTCATAAACGTTAGTAATTTCAGTTTAACCCTTTGAGTTGTAATAGCTGATGTCAAAGTATACTGAGGTCAATTTTTCTTACTTAAGAAAGACTTCTGTGGTAAGAGCGCAGAAGGATCTGGCTGTGGCTGACTGCTTCTTTTTTGTCTTTTTAAGAAGGAAGCAGAGCTATCCTCTTCCCCTGCCTTTACAAGAGGGATGTGCCCAATGAAAAAAGGAGTAGTTGGCAATGCTGACTTCCCCTTGGCTGACACTAGCACAAGTGCGTCCCCAGCAGCTGCCGCAAGGGTGAGAAGGGGGGGGAGTGCTAGGTGAAAATTACAGCTTAATTAGCTGTTTCATCGAAATTTAAAGGATGCTGATAGCGCATTTGCTTTTTCAGTGGTGACCAGCAATCTTTAGAGAAGGTTTCTGTGGCGTTTGTGTCAAGGAAGCTGACATCCAGAGGCATTCAGATCAACATCAGCTGGGTGGGCTTAAATTGCGTGGAAGGGATGCCCTTTAGAATTGCCACCTCTTTACCCATGGCTAAATGTCAAAATACTTTTTGCCGATGCACTCACTTGGTTTGTGGGTAGAAGGGCAGATTGTCTCAAAACTCACTCTTTGCAAGGGAACTTAACTTGAAAAAGAAGCGAGTAAGATGCGCTTGGCAGCGTGCTCCAACGCTGGCTATTGCCTGCAGAGCTCTGTGTTGGATGGATAACCGGGAACTTCATTCCTGTGGAACGCACAGTTCATTTAATGTCACGGGCTGCTCCCTGGGATCACCCACAATTGTTAAACACGAAGCAAGCTGCAGCTTTGAAGTACCAGATGTCTTTTACTTGGTACTGACAGCACCAAGTCACTGTGTGGCTGTGTACCACAGGGCAACGTGGGGGCTGGTAGGTTAGTGTATGGGCGAAGAGTTTTCCTTGCCAGGACTGGGTGTAGCCGCACTGTTACTGGAGGAGGGAAGGAGGAAACATAACTCTGCAGTGGCATAATCGTGCCGTTAAATGCTCAAGTAAACATGCTATGCCAGGCTCTGCTAAAGGGGAGGGATGCATCTCTGCTGGAACAGCCCCCTTTTTTTTTTTAACCCCCTCTTACCCCTAAGCACCTTGATCTGTTGAGAGGATCAGGGAAACTGTTATATTCACAAATGGACTTGAGCCTCTCTGTGCTTAGAGGCCTGAGAAAGTAACTAGAATACCTGCAATATATGTTTATATTTAAAATAATCACACTGACTTAGAAAAAAAAACAACAACCCAAAACCTGATTTCAGACAATGTTTGGAAGTCTTAGCACTCCCCTCCTGATCTCTATTCTTGTGCCAGTCAAGATCAGCATGCTGCTCTGTAACAGGGACGCCTTTTTTTTGACCCCTGAGCATTTCCTCATGCATAGCATCAGTCAGGAGTGCTAACGTGAACAAGTGTGGATTTGCCTGGGGGCAGACCTATGAAAAGAAGTGTAAAGACACCTTGCTTTTCCGCAGCCATGCCCCCTCAATGTAATCCAGGTAGCAGTGCTTTCCTTTCGCGCTGTGTTACGTGGTTCTTGCCATACAGTTTTCCCTCTGCCTTTCTGGGGCTCTCTGGGCAGCATGTATATGTGCATTGCAGCAAAGTCTTTGAGCCTCGCTGGAATAAGATCTCTGGTTGCATCTGTGTGGCTTACTGACCAGCTAGCAGTTCAAGTGGCTGCGTTGCTTTGAGGATGTTGGACGGACAGCATTTCTTTATTGCCCTGTGTTGAGCCACATAGGTATGTCACCTTGGTACCTCTAGCTTGCAACCTCAACACCACGCTCCCATTTTCGGAGCAGAAATACCCTTGGACCTATTAACACTAAAGCACTTGTACCTCTGCTGGCTCCTTTCGGCTCCAGAGAGCACAAAAGCTGGAAACATTGCAACTGTTTGAAACTTTTAAGAGAGTTAGCTAGTTGTCCTTGCAGAAAGAAAATGTCTTGAGTAAAGAAACTGCCCTTGAAAGGATCAAGGGGAAAATATTGGGGGGAAGACATTTTTCATTTATTTGTTTACATGTGCAGATTTTTTTTTAATGGAAGTTTCATGTACAATTATTAAGCAGCACATTAATCAAAGGCAAAACCACATTTATGTACAACTCTGTTTTCAATAGTGGTTTTCAAGCACTGATGTGTTTTCCTTAACTACTTCAGTTATTTAAAGCCAATTCTCACCCACAGTGGCCCTCCGTTAACCACAACTCTACCCAGCTGGTGTGGCCTGATAGCCCGCTGTCTGACAAGTCCCCAGGTTTATGATGTAAGTAGAAAGACTCAGTATGGGTTTTGTTTTTTATTTATTTAACTTCAGCAAAGCAGCTTTTTTTATTTTTAGGCAAAAGTGCTGGTTTGTCCCAGACAGAAAAGATTTAAGATGGTCTTCTGTGAGACAACAGCTTCTGTTAGTGGAAATCAGAGATGATCTTGTTGTTTAAACACTACATTAAAAAAACAACATTTAAGGATATTGGAAAATTACAGGCCTAGTCAATAAACCAGTCCAGTGAATCACTTAAAAATATTCAGTCCCTTCTCAACACTTTTGGACAAGATTCTTTTCCTGTTACTGCTAAGGTTGCGTTGAGGTCTCCTTCAGTGAAGACACTGACACGTTTACCCATGCCGGAAAGAAATCTGGTAGAGCTTCCCTTCATTGTTTCCACTGTGAAATTTGAGGCCACATTTCAGAAACCGTTAATCATTTACTTATCTCAGTCTAGCAGGTCACTATGCTGTCTTTACAGCCATGTCTTGCAATAATTAATGCTTCATTCTCCTGTTATTCTTGCTGGATCCTGATTACATGTCATTCGTGTCTGTATAGTTCTTCTGAAATCTACAGCGTTTATGAGCCACTTGTAAATAGAACCATAGTACTGCGTGGGATCACTCAAATTTGCAAGTTCTCTGGAACGGTAACATCTCTGCTATGTTCAAGTGGTCTTGAACCAGATTTCTATTAGTCTTTTCCTAAAAAGTTGTGAATTCCACTTGCATCTTTGAAATACTTTCTGGTATCATTAGCAGATTACTTTTACCTGATAGTAAAATTTCAAAGCAATTTGAAATGTCTGCTGTTAATTTGGAGTTATTAGTAATGCAAGGAATTGGCCCGGTTCCCATCTTTGCAGTACCACTGGAGATCTTAAAACAAATCTAGGCTGGAAGGCATCCATCAGACCAGTTGCCCTATCTGTGTATTGCCCATGTATGATCTTATAAGATTAGTTTTCCGGTAACTGAGGATCTAACCAGAGTGGACATGCAAGCTTTGGCTGTCAGTTGGGTTCTTTTTTTCTCTTTACTCCTCATTCTTAGCTACTACCACATGTGGAAACTTTTTCTTTAATTGAATTGCTTTTGAGACACACACACAGGATGTTAACTTCATCATTGAAAATGTTTATAAGGCTGTATACTTTGTTGGGGTATGTAATGTGGAACTGCAACTTTCACATTGTATTCTCTCTTCTTGTTCCTATTTTGGTGCATTGCTGCATTAGCCTTGGGAAAGAACATAATTTTGAGATTTAATTTCTAGTTTCTTTTCAAGATTTCCGAACTCTGCAGGTGCTTTAGTGCTTTTTGTTTCTTTGCATGGCTGCCTTTGCTACAGCACTTGACTATACCATTTTGTTACTGGCTAAAAAGCTATGGAATCTTTTTGTCTTCCTATTAAGTGCAGGTGAAGCAACTGAGAGCGCCATGTCTTTGGGGGGACAGAAACTGCTTGGCATAGTGTCGCTTTTGTGAGGTATTTCCACGAAAATTGAATGGTACCTCTGAGAGAATTAAAGGCTGTGTCCTGGTTTGGCTGGAACAGAACCACAGCCCAGCCATGCCAGGCAGCCCATTAGCAGGTTTGAGTCAGCCAGGGCAGCTGACCTGAGTCAGCTACAGGTGTAGCCCGTACCGTAAGGTCATGTTCATTATAAAGGGGGGAGGTTTGATGAGGAAGGGGAGCTCCTGTGGGGTTCCTCCTGCTCCTCCTCTGGCTTTTCCCTGCTCCTGAGGACTGCTCTCTGGTTGATTTTATGTGTGGATATTTGTTTGGCTGGGTATAACTCTGTATATCTGTTAGTATTAGTGTTATCTCGTTAAAATCTGTTCTCACTTCTGCCCATGGGTCTGCTCTCCTTTTCTCAATTCCCCTTCCTGGCTGGTGAGGGGTCATCTGGTGATAGAGGAACCCTTACAACTTAGCCCCAGGTACAGGCTAAACGTAGACAGACTGAAAACTTTGAATTAAACAAGCAAAAAAGTCTGTAAATACTCAACGGAATGTTCCATAGCTGGAAAATGTGTTTCAAAAAGTAGTAGTAAATCCTAGATCTCATTCAGGTGCATGTCTGAGCACTTAGGACATCTTCTTAGAGAAGAAAGCATGCAAGTATGTGGCTATACTGACTGTATATTTGTGTATTGTTTTTGGCTTCAGTTGTTGGGTTTTTTTCTTCTCTGGCTTTATTACAACCTTATTTAGAACTCATTTTCACTTCTGTGGGTGGGAATGCATCTTTTTAATTAGATGACAAAAGGGGGTTTTAAAGTCTGAAAGTCAAATAATCTTATTACGTAGTCCACCTACAACCTATTCCTAAGTATGAGTTCATGTCCTCTAAGCTTGAATCTGCATGATGTGCATGTAAGGTTCTGAATCAGCACTTGGGGGTGAGGTGCAGTGGATTTTTTCCAGAGCTGCTGTTACTATTCCTTGCTGATGTTCTCCCACTGCTTTAAGACTGTCCCACTAGGCTCACCATTAAGTGTTTCCCACCCAAACCGAATCCAAGTTGGAACTTTAAAGCATGAAAGTTTGCTGTAGTTAGTGTTTAACAGCATAATTTTCAAAAATTCACTCCTATTTTTTTCTCCTGGTGTTATCTTCAGTGCATGCCTATTTGGCAGGGCTTTCCATTTTATCCCAAACAACTGTAGGTCACTTCTTCTTTCCTTTTGACACGTCCTTTGAAAGTTTTAATAATTCTGTTTCATCAACCTTTTATCCCATTTCATAGAAGCATCTGTGTTATCACCAGCTCTTTGTGATGAAGCACTCCTGGGGATTTTTCATTTTGGGCTTATTTGTTCAGGGGTGTGTTTTGTGTCTTACACACTCTCCCACTTGTTGTGGTGGTGGGTTTTTTTTTTGTGGGGTTTTTTTTTTTTGAAAGTTTAGTTCTTGCACCATACACAGTGTGACAACTTGGTACGAAAGTAAAGGGAATGGAATTATTTTTCTAAATATGCAAACTTGGTAAAGAAACTTCATTTGCAGTCTATGTAAGTCTTGGAGGACGTACCTCTCAAAATTGGTAAGAAAAACTGTTGAGCTGCGCCTCACCCCTCCCATTTCTTAGTGATTCTAGCTTCGTAGGAAAAATTGTTTAGTTTCCTTGGTGAATTTGAAATCTGAGAGAGAAACGCTAAGCGGCACGTCAGGTTTAATTTGTAATATATTTTGCATTAATACTATTTGACGCTTTTGCTTTGGAGCCGCAAGGTGAGTAACCTCTGACGCAAGTTCTGTCATCTGTGATGCCGGTGTTGTATTCTGCACCAGCAGCAGACGTGGTGACTACCAGCACTTTGCATGTGGGGCGCACTTTGCATGTGCTTCTCTTTGCATCGCCTTAGGAGGCAATAAAGACTGGTGTGGTGACTACCAGCACTTTGCATGTGGGGTGCACTTTGCATGTGCTTCTTTTTGCATCGCCTTAGGAGGCAATAAAGACTGGCTCTGGAAGCAGTAACTCTAAGCTTTAGCTGTTTTAACATCTCCAACACGCATTCTTAGGAACATCAGCAGATTTTACCACAAATGGGATGGAATGCTCTGAGGTCCCTCAGGGTTATGGTCAGCACACCAAAGCAAAATTCAGTCTTTTGTGGGGTTTGGATTTAGGTACTTAACCATTCTAGTATGTGAGTGTAAGTAGTGAAGTTCAGATCTATGTTTGAGTGAATTGAAGCTATTCCTACAGAACTGTGGGGGATTGCAGAGGCCAGTTTAGGGTTATTCTTGGAAGAATTTCAAGTCTCTAGGGATCTACTTGGATACATTTCCTGTCTGTCTTGAAAGAATTGTTGATGCTGCATGAAGCACAGTAGGTTTATTCACCCATCCTCTTTGCTTGCAAATGTAGCAAATCCGTATACTACATGGGATTGTTCATGGATGTTCTCTGGGGAAATACATGAAATAAATTGCCTGCTGCTTGCACTGCTATTCAGAAGTGAAATAAATAAGTGGAACTTGGCTTGTACAGGCAATGTTTGCTCACTGTGTTGAGAGAAAGCTCCGTGTTTTCTCTGGAACTGATCATGTTTACGTACATGTAAGCATAGCCCGGGACAAACCAGCAAAGACTGAGTTAGAACTTGCCGTACAGTACAAAGCCGGTGGCCCTATCTTTTCGGTATCGTGCTTCCAAGAGCTTTTCAGCCTTTTGGGGAAGCTGAAGTGTAGTGTGTGTGTGTTCTTACCAGTTTCTTATCTGATAGGTGGCTGCAAGGATTTGCTGTTAAATAGCATTATGGAGACAGGAGATGCTTTGGGAGCTTGCTGCAGCCACTTCACGCGTGGCCCTGGTACCACAGTACCTCCTGGTGCGCTGTTAGCCCTGCCTTCCCCAACTTGGTGCTTCTCCAAGGGCAAACACCATGAAAGGCAACTTGTGATAAAGATTCTCGCTTCTTTGACTTCTTAAAACATAACCAGTCAACAGTCACAAACTGCCTGCTGCTTACTCATTTTCCTGCTCTTCATCTTTATTTGAATGTCTTTTCTTCAAAAACAGAATCTATAGGGATATCAGATTTTCTTAAACAGCCGATCATTTTGTGCGTCTTTTGTAATCATCTTGGTCTTGTCCCTCAGACTTTTACATTTTCTGCAATGGGAAGTTTATAAAGGCTGTTTCTGCCAACTATAGCTGAACCCTTTTAATTTCTGCCTTTTTTTCTTTTTAAGATAGTGACAGTAGTTCAGTGTGCTCTTTGTAATCAGAGAAAGCAAGTGTCCTAAACTGTATTTGCTCTTTGTGAACAGCGTTCCCTATCACAGTAACCCTGTCTCTAATAAGCGATGATAAATTTGGATGCCACGAAGGTTCTGAGAAGTTAGCATTCATTGTGAGTAGGGCTTGTCTTGCACCCGACACTGAACAGCACCATTTCTTTCATTGGTTTTGATAAACTCCTGACACCTCTTCCAGTACTCATTAGTTAAATATTCTGTATCATCTAGAGGCTTCTGCTGCTTTATTTTGGCTGATTACCATTCTGAAATAATGACAGGAAGCTTTCCCAGGAAGCTTTATTTAGCCAGGCACTGCATTTTTCATCGTGGACAGGTTAATCAGCATTTTGAATCTCAAGTACCCTGAACTTCTGTTCTGCAGTACTGGTAGGGCTTTCTGGTCAGGCTGATCGCAGGCATCCTATCTCACATAGCCTGTACCTTCCTTCCTTTACCGAGGTGGAAGAAAATGATGTATTTTGAGAATGTGGCCTGATCAGTGTCCAGCTGACTGAGGAGAACAGCAATACACACATCTATATTTCAGCTCTTGCTAAGCAGTATGGAGCTATTCACGGGGGGGGAAATAATTGCTTGCAGTTGCGAGAGAGCAAGTAGTACTGATCAAATTTTCCTCAAATATGAAGAAGCCCCGTTTTCTGACCGATTCAGCTGTTTTTCCTTTTGCCGAGGCCATGTTAAATGGGAGTGAAACACGGTACAATTGCTTGCTGTTGTATTATGCTGTGTAGAGGAATTGCTTTGTTGCACTTCAGCAATTTCTAGTCTCCGACCGTGTATTTCACCCCATCTCTGCCAAACTAAATTCACAGGGTTTCGTGAGCCATTCTTAAACGATTTTGAAAAGAAAACATATCAGAACTAGTTACAAAACTGTGAAGCAAGCATTTTCTTGTATCAGTCTCTTGTTCTTCTACGGCTCAGGACTGTTCCTAAGAACTAGGTCAAGTAATTCTCTGTTTAGTACCAGGTAAGAGTAAGCAGATGGTTTAAAAGATTGTGGTTAGTTTTCAATCCATAACAAAAATTTGTTGAGGAAACTGGAATATAAAGAATCTGGGCCTAATGAGTCCTTACCAGTTTGGATGAGACTTTTACTAGTGAATTTGACTATTTAGCAACAGATGCAACTCTGACTTTGTATTTGGAGTGACTTAATTGGGCTTGGTCTTCAGCCTCTTTCCTGTACTGCCTTGTAAACTGTCATACGAAAACCAGTGTATACTGCTCATCTCTCCTGTACTTCTGGTCAACTTCCAGTGCTATTAAATCCATAGTTACCGGTTTCATAATCTAGTTCTTGGATTCAGCTCCCCCTCATTTCTCCGCCATAGCAGTAGTTACACAGGGAGCAGTAAGCCGATTTGCAAACACAGGGTTTAAGGTTATTTTTAACATTTCTTAAGGTGGAGCTGTACCACTTACTGCTTCTGTATTGACACGTCGGTAAACTCTTCTGTTCAGTTACCTTCTTGGCAAAGACCAGATGTTGTGCACTGTACAAAGATTTTAAAGATTTTTTTTTTTATTTTTTATTTTCTAGAATCAAGAGCAGCTTAGAGAAGAGGATTCTGATTTTATTCTGAATGATGGTGACCTTACTGTGACATACGGCGATACAACAATAACTGCAAATGGTTCTTCTGGCCCCCATACAGCTACCACTAGCCTTGATGGCAGGAGAACAAAAAGTAGTTCAGAGGAAGCACTGGAACGTGATTTGGGAGCAGCGGATCATGAAGTTACAAGCAGGGGCACCCGGCTAGTATTTCCTCTGGAAGACAATGCATGATCACTGACTCAGTAAAAATAACTCTTGCTCTGTGGATGGATCAAGGAAGGCTGCAGGCCACTGTGTCACTGGAGGTGGGGATGTTTATTTAAACAAGTTAACATGTATGTGGTTTTACTAAGGTCTGAAGATGTCACCTATTTTTTACTCAAGATGCTGACAGTGGGGTTTTCTAAATGTCTGAAAACAGACGAATGAGAAAACTGGTCCTTCTCCTCTTTTCAACTGCATATTGAGTCCAAGTATACCTAGCATGCTGCAATTGTCTTGTTCAGCTGCAGCAGCTCTCTCTGAAGAGAGAGAAAAATTTGTGATAGAACTGAGCTTGTCTTGGCTTAGCTTGGGAATGTGGAAGAAGAAATATAAACATGATGATGATTATGAGATAAAAAAGGGGGTGTGTGTATCTGAATGTGGAGAGATCCGTTGTTAACTTCTCTCGTGTGCTTGAGGAACCTGTAAAGTAAGATGCAACAGTATATGCTAGGACACCAGGTGCATGAATGCAAGGCTCCGTGGGGAATCTGTTACTGCCAGCTGTACTTAACGTATTTCAGGGAAAAAAGGGAAAAGATTTATTGACTGGCCATGTGTTTAAATAGGAAGGCAATGCAAGCTACTTGTCCCTTTAGCTTTGGGCAACTTGACTATTACCATTAGCCTAACTTCTAGTGCCTCAAAAGAAAAACATCCAGCTTCCTGTGGTCTAAGGCATACCTGACCCGACACAAGCCCAGAGCCAGGCTCTCCCGGGTAGAAGTTATGAGGTAAAACTTTCTCTCCCTTGAGGTTCTTAAAATCTGATGAAGATCACTGGAAATATATCTTGGGCTGGGGAAAACAGCAGATAAGGTGGGCTGGGGGGGAGAGAGAGAGAGGCAGTCTTGAACTTGCATGGAACCATGAGGTTTCATATTGCTCAGAAGAATCCATGGACTCTGCTTACAGTTCTCGTGTGTGATAATAACAGCAAACATCTAATTAAATGGACAGACAAACACTACTGGCTTTACCATTTGTGACTATCCTAAAAGAAAGGTGTTTACTTTTGTTCTCTTTCGCAGAGTAGATGTGAAACTTCAGTGGGGCATTGCACAACAACATGTAAGCTACAGAAGTGATGAACTGTAGTATCATCTTAAATGTGAAAAGGGAAAAATCCTTGCCTAGTATTTAGCCCACTTACACGTAGGCTAGCTTTAACTTACTGCTAAATGCTTTTTAATTTCCGAATGAGGAGATACCATTGGCTTTGCCAATAGCTGAAAACTTACGCTTTGAAGAGCAGTTCAGCTATTTAAAGCATGCTGAAATGTGATTTCATTCTCATGTCTCAAAAGGTTTATTTTTTTAGAGTTCTGTGGCCCACTAATGTGATGTAGTACCAGTTTGTCTAAAAAGGTGTGTTTTTATTGCTGCCATTTCAGTTGTTCCTCTCATAATTATGTGTGAGTAAATACCCGCTCTGTTTTTCCTTAACTATTAAATTTAATGGGCTTACTTCAGTATGAGAACTTACTGCTGCAGAGAAACATTGCAGTCATGTTGTCTAGTCTGCTTTCTTTCAAATGTGTTCTTTAATGAGCGATCTACCTCCTTACCTGGAGGTCTGTCCCTCCAAGGAAAGTTTGTAAAGGGCATTGGTCTGTAATGACTGTCTGACATTATCAGGAAAAGAGACACGAGGAAACCAGACGCTTTTTTGTGGAAATGCTGGAAGAGCAATACAGCCTGAGCTCTGTTCTTCAGTGGTGAAGAGCAACAAACCCTGATGAAGATCTCTGGGCAGAACAACTCCTTTTCAGTTCTCATGTGCTTTCAAGGAAGACAAAGCAGATAGCAATGATCTGTGCTACTTACCCTGTCTACATGGTTTGGTTTTTCTTTTCTTTTTTAAGTGGTCTGGCAGTAGAAGAAGAAGTCTCCTCTGAAATTACAAACACAGTTGCATTCATTTTGGACAAGTCTTGGGGACTCATGCTGTCAGTGCTGACTGAGGACTTGAGACCTCTGCAACAATTAAGAGTTATCGGCTGAGTCATATGAACCAAACCTTGGGTTGAAACAGTGAAACTTACCCAAAATAAATGGGCTTAATACAGTGAGGCAGTTCTTCATGTGCAGCTTGAAGCTGAAGCTTACCTAATCACTTTGGCTGAAAAACAGAGCCTTATGCAGAGAGAGATCTGTTCTTTGGAAGAAAGATCACGTACAGATTCTGGAAGTAGAAATTCCGTTTCATTACCTTCCTCAGGAAGACTGACTCTTTTGAAAGCATCAATAAACCATCCCAGTGCAGATGCTTCTCTGTCTGTGTTTTTAATTCCCATACCAAAAATACACAATTGAATGAAGTTCACCAGTAAGCCCAAAATGTGGTTGTGAAAGAGCAGCCAAGATAGACAGATCATTGATGAGGGGTGAGAAATATAATAGTCTAACTTCACATTCAAAAATACTTAAAACGCTTTTCCAACATGGTGAGGAAAGGCCCATATAAACAAGCTTAATTTTTATTCATATATTACAACAATGATTTTTTTCGTTGATTTTGATCTTTTTTCATTTTAAGTCTTCTTCCAAAAGTGGACTTCATTGCCAACAAAAGGTAAGCTTAAACATCTAGCCTCTTTTTGTTGCTGACACCAATACTTGTACTGAACTCCCAAGGGACTCCTTTACTGAAAAAAGGGGAAAAACAAGAAGAAAACCCTCCTTATCCCAAAACATTGGGGAAAAAAACCCAACATATTTCACCAACTCTCTAACATCCTTTTCTCTTGTGCATATCCTTTTGAAAGAATAGTTTAATACTTCTCATTCCTTTCCAGTAAGATCCTGAGCTGGCAAGAACCGGACCAAGTCATACCAGCAGATGCATATTTTCTTATGAACTTGGTGTGAAGTTTTGAATAGAAAACACAGCTTAAGATTTTAATGAACAGCAATCGATAGATATTAGTATCCTCTTCAGATTGAAGAAGAAAACCTGTAAGATGATGGTCTTCGCTGAAAACAATATTGCTGTACTAGCATAGGGTGTTGCAGTGGCTGCCCTTGTACTTGGGACGAAGTGATTTCTCCCTGTAGTGTTTTGCTTGCTGCATCGTCAGCTTGTTGCTGAAAATATTCAATTGAAGTTGCCAAGGAATCTGGTAACTTCAGTCCCTGGAGACAGGCAAAATGAAGTCCCTAATCTTATTTCAGCCTTTGTAGAAGCTAAGGCTGATAGCAAGGCAAGGCTGTTCTGCAGTTGCTTGAATGTCCGCACAAACAAATCTTAGCGATTTGCGTGTGTTAACGGCCACAGCAGTCCGCAAGCAGTGCGCTAACGTTGTATTTAAAGAGACTAAAAGTTATCTAAACGCTTCTGTGTGTTCATCTGTAATGTCTGGGAGGGGGTAGGTTAGAAGGACTTTCATTTACAGAATTTGGAAGAGCACAAAAAATACCTAGAAAACTAGCGGGTTTGTGCTTTGTTTGCTGGTTAATTCAGTGTGTGTGTGAGAAATGATCGTGTTTTGAGTCACCTGTACAACACCGTGCATGTTTTGTGCAAAAGAGCCAATTTTCCTAATTTCTGTGGGACTACAGGCAGTTTATCAGTTAAAGCTGAGTAGCTACGAGCAGATCCTGTGGCTGCTAAGGGCAGTACCATAGCAGCCTCGCTACAAGCATGGGCAGAACGCCGGATTTTTCAGGGTGCATTTTGTGAGAGGTGCTCCCAGCGCTGCTCACACTGGCTCCAGCAGTAGCTCTGATAACCTGAGCTCGAGTTATCAGAAAGGAGGAATGCTGTGGCAAGTGTGTTTATGCTGTACCTTACATGTCTGCTATGCAGAGGAGGGGAACAGCGTAAGGTACCTTTGCTGATAAAAACTGAACAAGTGTCACATACTTGGTACCTGACCAAGTCTAGCCCTATTCCAAGGATGCAAGGATTTTGGCCTACGAATGGAGCAAAATTATTATTTGTTGTTTTAACACTGAAGGAATTCAGTTTTCGGAAAGGACTGCAGAAATTTTAACTGGAGGGAGAAAAATTCTAAGCTTTTTTGGCTGAACTCCTAAAGAGGTGATCTGAAGCAAGTACATAGCAAAGGTTAAAATGGTATCTACTGCTAATATGATAGCTACCCCATTTTGCTCTGAGGGGAAGGAAAGACTTCACAGTAGAAAGTCTAGCAACCTTAATAGATAGCATGAGCAGCTTCTGTAACTAGGGGGCCAGATCCTGTGACTTTCATCTTTAAAGTCGGGGATACAATTTGTAGATTGGCAGGGACAGCATGGTCCTTCTTCTAGCAGTTCAGTTTAACTTGAATTGCAGTCTCTCTTCAGACAGTGTTGGTCAGAGGAGCTTCCTTGTGTCTGATTTGTAACAGCAAAACCCTGGAAGCTACTGTGCTTCTTCACATGCCTTTCAGAGAAGGATTCAGTGTAGCTTTTAACTCTGTTTGAAGTAGCTCACAGGAATAACATGCTTGACCTCAGCCTTGGCAGACGTGGTCTCTGCTTCTGCACGAGTGTGGGAATGGAATTTGAGTACTCAGAAGCCTCAACTTCACATGCTTTTCTTTAAGATGGGTGGGGGAAATGACCTTTTTTGGGGGGAAACCAGAGAACTTACAGATGCATCAGCAGGGAGTGTTCCTCTCCAAAATAACAAACTCATGACCTGCTGAAACGTAGAAGCAAGGGAAGATAAACCGTGACCAGGAGGCACAGACCCTCCAGCAGGAAAGCAGGCACTAAATACCCCAAACTGGCTTCGTACAATCTCGGTCATAATCAGAGTCACAGAAAGTAGGACAGAGCTGCTGAGTAGCTTGAACATCTTCCTAAGAGAAACACCCGTAGAATAACAGTTTCAGAAGTCCCTGTATTGAAAACCCGTCTTTGTAAGAAGCAGCCCATGCAAACCTTATTTGCAGCGCAGAAGGACGGTCTCGCTTCCCACGTTTGGGGAGGGCAGTTTAATACTGCGCAGTGAGAAACCACAGATGCTTCTTGGCCTGGGATTTTTGGGAGTGCCCTTCTGAAAAATCACTTCCGGTAGGAATAAGCCTGCAAAGTGAAAGAGAAGGAAAGTGTGGAGGAAATAGTGAATTACAAAGCCAGGAAATGGCTTAACCAGGCAACTTTATGGTGGGAACAGCATTGTAAACAGTTGCTATTCTTAATCTTGCAGTCCTAAACATGGAGAAGTTTGGTAGGCTTCTGTGTGACTTATCCTAAAACAAGGGCGCTGGGATAATGCAGAAGTAGTTAAGCTACCCCATCCTAGTTGATGGCAAAATCAAAGGCTTTCACAGGGGAGCACTGGCTTGCTTCTACTCCAGAGCAAGGAAAGTAACTTTCTTTAAAAGTAATCTTGCATCGCTACTGTCTTGTCTTGACTCTAAAAAGCCTTTAGTAATTTTGAAAGCGGTTCTAGGGG